CAACAAACCCTCCGCACTCAGCCCCTCCCCCTAACACAGCCCACCCCGACACCCCACAAACCCTCCGCACTCAGCCCCTCCCCCTAACACAGCCCACCCCGACACCCCACAAACCCCTCCGCACTCAGCCCCTCCCCCTAACACAGCCCACCCCGACACCCCACAACATCCCAAACACCGCTCCCTACACCCCAATCAGCCCCTCCCCCACATCCCAATCAGCCCCCTCCCCCACATCAAAATCAGCCCCTCCCCCTACACCCCAATCAGCCCCTCCCCTGCACCCCAATCAGCCCCTCCCCCTACACCCCAATCAGCCCCTCCCTGAACACAGAACCTCCCCAACACGTGACTCAGCCCCTCCCTGACACTCACAGCCACTCCCCCCCCCCGAGGTGCCCTCACCGCTCGCTTGGCCTCACAGGAGCCCACACAGGCCTCGGTGATCTCCTTGTAGTACAGCTGCTGCTCCACTGACAGCTCGTGGGTGGTCCTTGGCTTCAGCTTCAGGACCCCGCCCTCCAGCAGCGACTTCTTCTTTTCTTTCCCTGAGACACAGCATCGTCACACCCCAAACAATACAGCGCCCCTCGCCCGGGGGTGTCCCGGAGAGCTTCACCGTGGGGCAGCTCGACACTGAGCCGAGGGGAGTGGGGGGGTGACCGTCGGCGCGGTCAAATAGGAAGGTCTTCGTTCACGACCTAAAGATGGGGTAGGAAGGGGCAAGGCGGAGGGAGGGATAAAGGGTGAGAGTGACAAGAATTTCGGGGAGTAGTGGCTGATAGCGGGCCGCCAATGGTGGATCGGAGGGGACGAGGGGCGTGCAGAAGGCCGGAGCCAGTTGAGCGGAGGCAGTTAGTTGGATGATAAGCAGGTTGGAGGGATACAGAGGTGCCGAGGGCATGAAGGGATCTGAAAACGAGACCGAGGATCTTCAAATTGATCTCAAGCCGAGCCTAGAGCTCACAGCCCGGCCCATCAGCAGGGACTGGAAGGGCCGACCAGTCACTGGGGGTCAGGGAATCCTCCCCCTCAGCTCCTGGTAACCCCACAGCCAAAGCCCCAACTAACTAACTAACTAACGGGGAGGGGGGTCCTCGCTGGACAAGCAGCGGGAAAGCTCGGCCACACAGCGCTCTCTCTCTCTCTCTCTCTCTCTCTCTCGATGGCTGAGCTGTGTGTGGGTTTAGTTGGTTAGACCCCAACAGTTACCCCCCAACACACTCTGGGTTCCCCGCAAAGCCTTGGCTCTCGCCAACCTGCGCCTAATACTCTCCGGAATTAGGTAATCGGGGGGCGTCCCTCCAGGGAGAGAGAGAGAGGGAGAGAGTGCAGTCCATTCCCGCAATCTATCTTTGGGATTTCCAGGTGTAGGGAAAACGTGGAATTCTCAGCCCAGTTTGGTGACTCTTAAGCAACGATGACGGGTTTCCACGTGAGTCAATTCACCCACTGGGCAAAAATAAAAAATACACCAACACAGTGATGCCCTCTGACCTTTATCCACAGCTCCTGCTCCTTGCCCTTTGACCTTGGCTTGACCATCCTCCTCCTGTCCGGGTTTGATGACCTTCAGGGGCTCCGTAGACTCGAGTTTCTGCTGTTCTTTGGGAGCTGAATGTGGGCCAGAGAGAGCGTTCAGTAACCGCAGAACAACTGACAGCACCTCCACTCCCTTTACAGCCCCTTTACAGCAATAACAATAATAATCCTTGCATTTGATACAGCCCCTTATCACATCGTTGAGACGTCTCAAAGCGCTTCACAGTGCAGTGTAGTTACTGTATATTTTGTGGGCGAAACCACAGCAACCAATTGCGCACAGCAGTGTCCCACAAACAGTCATGGTTTGAGTCACTAAATTATTATTTCTTTTTATCACCATGACATGCTGAGTGCTCAGTCATTGTACCGAGACAGCAATGAAGGTCGTCGGAGGAATGTGGAGCAGAATTATCTGAGGAGTCATTGCTGGGTTCTTGCTTTTTAATTAATTAAAATTAAAAAAAGGTTCCTACTTACTGCTGAATAAACAGGCGTGTGTGTGGATAAGGCAACTTGCCCAACGTTTCGCCCTGATCTGCCCAGGAATCGAACCCGGGTCCTCTCGCTTGTGAGGCAAGTGCTCTCACCGTTGATCTGCAGGACTCCACGTGTGTGTATTTACTCACAGAAAAGCTTGTGTGTGTATGTACACAGAAGCGGGGACATACATGCACGTGACGACACAGGGAAAGGGAGGTAAACTCAAGACTAATCTGCGTAAACACTACTGCAGTGAGCGAGTAGTAAACATATGGAACAGGCTCCCTCGGGAGATACTGGAAGCAGAAAGTGGATTTTTTCAAAAGCAAATGAGATAGATTTCTGTTAGGAAATAATATCTGGGGCATACACAGGATATAGTTTGGGACACGCCACGGCAAGCCAGGATGGTGGAAGGCCAACTAGATGGACCTTGGTCTTCTTTCGCCAGCAAATTCTTATGTTTTTTTTATGAGCGTATGCACTATTTAATTGGTCTGGGATTCACACAGGAGCCCGACACAGTTCACACACCCACCCACACACACACCCACACACACACCCACACACCCACCCGCACACATCACCTGCAACCTTACCTGGCGGTGGGTTCTCTGGAATGGCGGGCTGCACTCCTTCAATGCTTAACCAATGGGCTGTAACAGATGACAGTTTTCTTTTGCAAACATTGCCATTTACACTGTACACCGCGCTCAGTGCCCGACCTCCCTGAGCTCCACTGCCCCCCTCCCACCGTCATTCCCATGGCTGGGATTCCCTGTGGGCCGCCCTGCTGTCCTGGGAGGATTGACGGTCCAGACTTGGTTTAAGGTCCCAACCAGTGTCTCCTTAAGTTTTCCCCACTGCGGATCCCTCCCCCACACGTATCCCCTAGCCTTCCCCCACCTTCATAACCCCCCCCCCACCCCACTCCCGTGGTCTCCTCCCCTCACATCCGTGGTGCCTTCCCCCGTCTCCCTCCCCCCTCTCACCTTTCAGACAGACGTCGAGAGGCACCCGGGGGAGGGGGGTGTTGATGATGTCACTCAGGTCTACCTCTTTCTCCTCATAGAAGTAGAGCTCGCGGCCCCCCCCACTGGCATAGCGGAACGGGATAAACTCCTGCGCGTGGAACCCGTACAGCGGCTGCCAGACAGTGAGAGCGACACGTTAAACCCCAGCCCAGCCCAGCGAGGGAGAGCAGCCAGACCCCCACAGCACTGCCCTCTACATCTCCTTGTGAGCAATGTGAGAGGCACAGCATTTGATATCGCACCTTATCACGTCATCGAGAGTCTCGTAGCGCTTCACAGAACACATTGTAAAGCGTAGTGACTGTGTTCTTTGTGGGGAAACGCGGCAGCCGGTTTGTCAGGTTCTCCCACAAGTAGCTATGGATTGAGCATTATCTGGGGGGGGGGGAATTGTTGGCCGAGAGAGAGAGAGAGAGAGAGAGAGAGAGAGAGAAAAACTCCCCTCTCTTTTGGAATAGCGTCACGGAAGACCTTTAACATCCACCTGAACAGGCAGACGGAGAATGAGGTTTAACGTCTCATCCAAAGGCCGGCCTCTCCGATGATGCAGAAACCCCAGCGAGGCTGCCTCAATTGATCCCCTTTCCCCCAACAAAGCCGGTGAGCTGGACTGCGGAGGGGGGGGGAGGTGATTACAAAGCGCTGTTCAGCACCTCCACATTTTTCAGTTTGAGAGCGTAGTCGATGTCCACTGTGCTCAGCCTTTTCCTCTTCCCGTGGTGCATAAACTTCAGGGCATCCTGCGGGCAAACAGCCTCATCAGCCTCCGCAAGAGCATCAAACACACAGCCAACATACACACAGCCCCCACCTCCACACGCAGCTAACATACACAGCCCCCGCCTCCACACACACAGCCCCCGCCTCCACACACAGTCAACATACACAGCCCCCGCCTCCACACAGTCAACATACACAGCCCCCGCCTCCACACACACAGCCCCCGCCTCCACACACAGTCAACATACACAGCCCCACCTCCACACGCAGCTAACATACACAGCCCCCGCCTCCACACACACACCCCCCACCTCCACACACAGCCAACATACACACAGCCCCCACCTCCACACACAGCCAACATACACAGCCCCCACCTCCACACACAGCCAACATACACAGCCCCCACCTCCACACACAGCCAACATACACACAGCCCCCACTTCCACACGCAGCTAACATACACAGCCCCCGCCTCCACACACACAGCCCCCGCCTCCACACACAGTCAACATACACACAGCCTCCACCTCCACACACACAGCCAACATACACAGCCCCCGCCTCCACACACAGCCAACATACACACAGCCTCCACCTCCACACACAACCAACATACATACAGCCCCCACCTCCACACACACAGCCAACATACAACAACAACAACAAGATTCCATTTATAGAGCGCCTTTCACGTCGGGAGGACGTCCCAAAGCATTGGATAGTTGGGTCAGGACCCGAGTATTGGGGGGGAAATGGTCAGGGGGAGGGAGCAAGGAGGGGGGAGATGGTGAGGGTGAGGGGAGGGAAGGGAGGGGGCGAGGAGGGGGGTAGAGAGTCGAGAGCGGTGCTGAAGGCTGAAGGTCAAAGAGAAAGGCCTTGAGACCGCCTTGAAGGAGGAAAGGGAGGAAGCGCGAAGGCACTGGGGATGGAGTTCCAGAGCCTCGGGGCTGAGAGGCTGAAGGCCACCGATGGTCGGGCGGTTGGGGCGGGGGGGGGCCGACCGGAGCCGGAGGACGGAGGGTACGGGGGTACGTGGGGGGATAGTAGGTCGAAGAGGGAGGAGGAAGCGAGGCCGGGAATGGCCGTGTAGGTGAGGATGAGGAGCTTGAATTCAACATACACACAGCCCCCACCTCCACACACACAGCCCCCACCTCCACACACACAGCTAACATACACACAGCCCCCACCTCCACACAGCCAACATACACACAGCCCCCACCTCCACACACACAGCCCCCACCTCCACACACACAGCTAACATACACACAGCCCCCACCTTCACACACACAGCCCCCACCCACACACACAGCTAACATACACACAGCCCCCACCTCCACACAGCCAACATACACACAGCCCCCACCTCCACACAGCCCCCACCTCCACACGCACAACCAACATACACACAGCCCCCACCTTACACACACACAGCGGAGGGGCGCAGACTGTGTGAGTTTGTGTAGTGTCGGACTGTGTGTGTATGTTGTGTATGCAGTGTGTGTATGTACAGTGTGCGTATGACGTGTGTGTAAAAGTAACTGAGGTGACATACATAGTTTACTACTCGGATGAAATCCATTTCAGTGTAAACCTGCCCTGCTATACATATATATGTTGGATGTATTATAAGTGTTTTAATATCTGTTAACAGAATATATATATATAGAGGGAAAGATTTTGTTATAGCAAAGTTTTTTTATTTTCAGGGATTATTACCTCCAGGAAGATTCCAAGCTGAACCTGGGTTTCAGTCCATTGGCAAACTGGCTCCCTGAAAGGCTTTGCGATTTTAAGGTAAAATGGGGACAGGATTTCAGCATTCCTCTCCACATTAAAACCTTTGGTCGGGGCTTAAATACCGTAGCTGCCGGTCATCAGGGAGGGCAGGTTCTTGGTGATTATTTTGTGGTCTGCTCTGTCACTCACCCAGCTGTTGGGCTCTGGGATACGAAGTCTCGAGACCCGATCGCAATTTTACACAGCGGCCCCTCACTCAAGCCAGGGTCCCAGAGTGGTGGAGCATGACTCCGAGCCGCGGGACCATAAGGCGAGGGCAAGGCGGAGCGAGAGATAGAGGGAGAGTGCGACAGCTGAAAGCACAGTCACCGATAGTGGAGCGAAGGGGACAAGGGACGAACAGGAGGTGGGAGCCAGTCGAGTGGAGGCAGCGGGTTGGGGGATAAGCAGGTCACCGAGGTTGGAAGGTGCCAGGGCATGAAAAGATTTGAAGACAAGTGTGGGGACCGTCAAACAACCAGTGCAGCCCAACCCTGGGAACAACAGCGACAACTTGCATTTACACCGCACCCTTCATGCAGGTTAGTGCCATGGAGTGCCTGACAGCGGTGGAGTCCGACTCCGAGCCGGGGGGAGAGGGAGGTGACCCGTAAGCACCTGTAGGCCTTAAGCACAGGTACCGTGGGGTACTTTGTGAGCTGGTGTGATTACCTGAGCCAGCTCCTTTATACGGTAGCTGACCTCCTCAGTCAGACTCTGACAGGAATCCTCAGAGAGCTGGGCGATCCCAATCGACTCAGCGATGGCTTTCATGGACTCCGTGGGCAGCAGAGTGTTGCTGATCTTCATCTTCTTTTCCTCAGCCATAGCAGCCTTCCATCATAGTCTGTGAGCACATCACACAACACACATCACCATTAACCACAACAATAATAAACCTGACATTACATGCAGCGCCTTATCGTGTCGTTGAGCTCAAAGCGCTTCATACGGTACACTGCAAAGTGTAGTGACTGTGTATTTTGCGTATAGCAGTGTCTCACAAATAGTTGTGGATTGAATCACAATTTTTTTTTATATGAAGGGATTATTACCTCCAGGAAGCAAGCCGCTCACTGAAGAGCCAGGTGTGGGCCGCTGAACGCACCTGCCTCAAATCTGGCCTAACGTTCCACCGGCAAATCTAGCCGGACCTCCTCAAAATCTACCGCTCCACTCCAGCCTCAGATAATCCTGGAGGCGATGAACAACCCCAGGCTTCTGTTCTCTACCACATCCTGACCCCTCCGTCCCCCCCAACACCCCACGCAGGTCATCTCCTCCAACCTTCACTGTGAGGAGATGCTGGATTTCCTTGAATCCAAAATCAAGGGAATCCGCTCCGCGGTCACTCACCCTCCAACTTCCACCCAACCTCCACCCCTTCCATCCCACACTCCGACTCCCACCCACCCCCCACCCCCTCCCTCCCACACTCCGACTCCTACCCATCCTCCCCTACACACTTTCGTACCCGGTTCCCCACCCTCTGTCACCAATCTCATCCTATCCCTGAAACCCACCACCTGCTCCCTGGACCCCATCCCCACTCCACATCTCTCAGCTTCACCTCCTTGTCCCACTTCTCACACACATCGTCAACCTGTCCCTCTCCTGTGGCTCTGTTCCCATTCCCCTAAAAACTGCCACCATCACTCCCACCTTGAAAAACCCCTCCCTTGATCATCGCAGCTATCAATCTCCGGCCCATCCCCAACCTCCCCTTCCTGTCCAAGGTCCTGGAACGAGTTGTGGCCTCACAGCTGCGCTCTTTCCTCTCCACCCACTCATTATTCGAACCCCTTCAGTCGGGTTTCGGTGCTGCCCATAGCACAGAAGCTGCCCTCTGGTCAAGGTCACCAATGCCATCCTGACCATCTGTGACCAGGGCTCCCTCTGCCTCCTCGTCCTCCTCGACCTATCGGCAGCATATCGACCTCGACCATTTCCCCCCTCCTCGCTCCCTCCCTTCCCTCCCCTCACCCTGACCATCTCCCCCCTCGATACGGTCGACCACACTATCCTCCTCCACCGCTTGTCCTCCCACCTCAACCTTCAAGGCTCTGTCCTTGAGTGGTTTAGGTCGTACCTCTCCCACCGTCTTCACTTTGTCTCCACGAATGGTTTTTCCTCCCCCCCCGCACTGTCTCGTGCGGTGTCCCTCAGGGCTCTGTCCTCGGTCCCCTCCTCTTCACCCTCTATATGCTCCCCCTGTGGTGACATCACCCAACTCTACCTTTCCTCCTCTACCCTCAACCCCACGACCCCCGATGTCCTGACAGCTGTCTGTCCGACATCGAGTCCCGGACGAGAGACAACTTTCTTCAGCTCAACGTGCGCAAAACTGAGGCCCTCCACATTGGCTCACGTCAGCGCCTCCGCACCTCAGGCACTGACACCATCAGCTCCGCACTCTCCACCTCTCAAAGCCATCAGGAACCTCGGGGTTCCCCTCGACCCTGAGCCGTCCTTTCTCCCTCATATCCGCACCACAACCGGCACCGCCTTCCATCACCTCCGGAACATGGCCGGACTACGGCACTACCTCACCCCTCACGCGGCTGAAACTCTGGGACTCTCTCCTCGTCGGCCTTCCCGGCCCTCCCTCCACACTGCAGCTCATCCAGAACTCTGCAGCTCCTGTACTGTCCCTCACCACATCACTCCCACCCTCACCCTCGCTCCCACCCTCGCCCTCACTCCCACCCTCGCCCTCACTTCCACCCTCGCCCTCAACAACACCCTCACCCTCACTCCCACCCTCGCTCGCCTCCACTGGCTCCCCATCCCCAGAGGATCCAATTCAAGATCCTCATCCTCACCGAGGCCATTCCCGGCGTCGCTCCCTCCTCCCTCTCTGACCTACTAACCCCCTACCTACCCCCCATACCCTCCATCCCTCTGGCTCCGGTCTGCCCCAAACCCTCCGCCCCAACCCCCCGACCATCGGTGGCCTTCAGCCTCTCAGCCCCCAGGCTCTGGAACTCCATCCCCAGTGCCTTCGCCGCTTCCTCCCTTTCCTCCTTCAAGGCCGGTCTCAAGACCTTTCTCTTTGACCGTACCGTCAGCTCCACTCCCTCCTCGCTCCCTCCCTTCCCTCCCCTCACCCTGACCATTTCCCCCCTCCTCGCTCCCTCCCTTCCCTCCCCTCACCCTGACCATTTCCCCCCTCCTCGCTCCCTCCCTCCCCGCACCCTGACCATTCCCCCCTCCTCGCTCCCTCCCTTCCCTCCCCTCACCCTGACCATCTCCCCCTCCTCGCTCCCTCCGTTCCCTCCCCTCACCCTGACCATCTCCCCCCTCCTCGCTCCCTCCCTTCCCTCCCCTCACCCTGACCATCTCCCCCTCCTCGCTCCCTCCCCCCCCTCACCCTGACCATCCCCCCCTCTCGCTCCCTCCCTTCCCTCCCCTCACCCTGACCATCTCCCCCCTCCTCGCTCCCTCCCTCCCCTCCCCTCACCCTGACCATCTCCCCCCTCCTCGCTCCCTCCCTTCCCTCCCCTCACCCTGACCATCCCCCCCTCCTCGCTCCCTCCCTTCCCTCCCCTCACCCTGATCATTTCTCCCCACTGCTCGGGTCCCGTCCCAACTGTACAGCGCCTTGGGACGTCCTCCTGACATGAAAGGCGCTCTATAAATGCAATCTTGTTGTTGTTGTTATCAATCGCCTAACAACCAGGTTTCTACGTACTGTGAGCTAAACAGAGGCGTGTAGTAGAGTAAGGAAACTTGCAGATTATTTCGCTCCATCCGGGAATCGAACCCAGGCCTCTCCCCAGCACTGACACTATAGTCGTACTTGTCCCCTACACCATTGGTGACAGTGCCTTCAGCCACTTGGCTCCAAAAGTCTGGAGGAGGTGTATATGGGGTGTGTGTGAATATGGGGTGTGTGTACATATGGGTCGTATATGTATATGGGGATGTGCGTGTATATGGGGTGTGTGTGTACATGGGGGTGTGTGTATGGGGGATGTGTATGGGGGCGTGTATGGGAGGGGTGTGTATGGGGGGTTGTGTTTGGGGGGGTGTATGGTGTGAGTATGGGGGGGGTGTGTATGGTGTGTGTATGGGGTGTGTATGGTGTGTGTGGGTGTGTATGGGGGGGTGTGTGGGGGGGGTGTGGGGGGGTGTATGGTGTGTGTGTGGGGTGTGTGTGTGTGGGTGTGTGTGGGGGTGGGGGTGTATGGGGTGTGTGTGTGGGGGTGTGTGTGGGGCGGTGTGGGGGTGTGTGTGTGTGTGGGGTGTGTGTGTGGGTGTGTGTGTGTGTGGGGGGAGGAGATGACAGAGGCCTGTGTGAGCGCGGGGCCCGGTGTCAGCACGTACCGCGGGTGGGGCTCCGGTCCCCGCTGTGTCGGGCGGGTGGGCGATGGCTCCTCTCTCTCTCTCTCTCTGGCGGCCGTTGCTCTCGCGCCGCCCGCCGCCTCCGGCACGTGACCCCGGTCCTCACCACGTGACCCCAGTCCCAGGCTCGGCGCCTCTTCGGCACGTGACTCGCGTCTCACTGCGCGACTCCGCCCCCTCTGCCCCTCGGTCACGTGATCAGCTCCGCCGGACCCCGCCCCCTCTGCCCATTGGGCACGTGATCAGCTCCACCGGGCCCCGCCCCCTCGGGCACGCGATCAGCTCCGCCGGGCCCCGCCCCACTTTCGCTCGGGCACGTGACCACGCCGCAAAAGCTTAACCCGTTCAGCCCCAGTGTGTGGCTGAGCAACAAAATGACATGTGTGTATAGCGCCTTTCACGTCGGGAGGGCGTCCCAAGGCGCTGCACAGCAACAACTTGCACTTACACAGCGCCCCCCCCCACACAGCGCAGCGTCTCACAGCCTAACTCTGAGCCGAGCGGGAGGGGGGGTGGTCGTAATCACGGTCGAAGAGGAAGGTTTTCAGGCTGGACTTGGAAAAGGGGAGAGAGGGGACGAGGCGGAGGGAGGGATTGAGCTGAAAGCGCTACCACCCATCGGATGGTAGGGTGGAGGGGAGGGGCGAGCGGGCCTCGGGGATAGTCGAGCAGAGGCCCCGGGTGTGGATTGGGAAGTGAGGAGGTCGGGAGGTACCAGAGTGAGAGGATCTTGAAGTGGATCCGTTCGGTGATGGGGAGCCAGTGGAGCCCGGGCAGGAACTGGTGAGATGTGGGTACGGAATTTGGTCCGAGTCAGTCTGGGGGCAGCAGAGACTTGAGTGGAGCTGAGGAGACTGGCGAGGAGTGCGTTGGGAGTAATCCAGGTGGGAGGTGACAAACCCATGCACGAGGGTTTTGGTTGCATTTGGGCAAAGGAACAATCAGAGGCGGGCAGTTGCGGAGGTTGGTCCTGGTCAGGCACCAGACACGGGGGAGGAAGAACTGGATGCCTGGACTGCGTACTGATTTGGTGAGTCTGAGGCAGAGCCCAGGAAAGTGGAGGGCTCTGGCAGTGGAATGAGGGATTCTATCCAGCCCTCCGTGCCGGTCTCTAGTCCCGGTTCCTGAGCAAGGAGGGGCCGCAGTGTCCCGGGGCACTCACTGCTGATGGCAGCCCAGCCCGACCCGTCGGCTGGACCTGGAATGGCCGACCAGTCACTGGGGGCAGGGAATCCTCCCCCTCAGCTCCTGTTAACTCCACAGCCAAAGCCCCAACTGACTAATGGGGAGGGGGGTCCTCGCTGGACAACCAGTGGGAAAGCTCGGCCACACAGCGCTCTCTCTCTCTCTCTCTCTCTCGATGGCCGAGCTGTGTGTGGGTTCAGCTGGTTAGACCCCAGCAGTTACCCTCCATCGCACACTCTGGGCTCCCCCCAAGCCGTCCACTCTTGCCAACCTGCTCCAAGCACTAGAATTATTTAAACAGTCCTCCAGAGAGAAAAAAATAATACACCTTCCATTCCAGACACGGGGAGATATCAACGTGGAGGAGACATACATATATGGGTTTTGAATACTTTTGATATTGAAAGTTGGATTATTTCATATGGAGTACAAACATATATAAAAAGGTTCAACAAGAGAAATAAAAAGTTTCATACACACACGGTTTATCTTGAATATAACTGGAGTTTGCGACATTTTACTGATTCAGCCTGACGACAGGAGTCTCGGAGACTGGTGATGTGAGGCAGCCAGGGGGAGGGGAGGACCACTTACCAGGAAACCCACTCCTCAATTACTGACTCAGTAACACCCACTGCTTTCTGCCCACTCAGCCATCAATCATAATAATCAGCCTGCACCCATCGGGTGGGCCCACAGTACACCAGGGCCAGCCATCTAACTCATCAGCAGCCCAGTCAGTGGGGAAAGGGAATCCTCCCACTCAGCTCCTATTAACCCTGCAAGTCAAAGCCCTAATGGGTAGGGTGGTCCTAGCTGGACAAGCAGTGGGAAAGCTTGCCAGACAGTGCTCTGAATGGCCAGCTATGTAGTTTTAGCTGGTTAGACTCCAGCAGTTACTCCCAACGGGGTCGCCAAGCCTTGGCTCTTGCAAACCTGTGTCTAATACTTTCTGGAATTAGATAAGCTGGATGTGTCCCTCCACGGAGACAGACTGCACTCCATTGCTCCTATACAAGTAGAGCATAGTGATGGGGTTCCCCTTGTCAGAAACTGGCAACGCTCAAAGCATGAGATGGGGGCCAGGGCTATGGTAGGGAGAGGGCACTCTATCCCCTGGGCTTCAATGTACAATGTAAAAGCCCAAGTGAAGGGCAGGAAAAAGACAGCAATTGAGCTGTCCTCTCCCTGCCTCGGGTCCAGGCCAGGCTACAAAGGCAGGTTAGCACAGGCCCTAGGGTGTGCTTGATCCCAGGCAATGACTGGTCCAACTGATCTAGAACTCCACTGCCCGTATGCTCACCCGCTCCAAACTCCATTCCCCCGCCCCATCACACCAGCACTTCCCAGGCTCCCCTGACTCCCTATCACAGCACGGTTCAATTCCAAGTTCCTCTCACTTGTCTACAAGTCCTTTCACGCCATGGCACCTTCCGACATTTCCAACGTGCTTACTCCCCACTCCAGCAGTTTAGAAAACTCCCTCAATCCCTCTGCCTCGACCCTCTCCTTTCCCATCTTCAGATCAGGCCTGAAGACCTTCCTCTTCGACCGTGCTTACGGTCACCTCCCCTGATTCGGATCGTGCTAGGCCTCTGTTAAGCGCTCTGAGATGCTTCCCTGTGTTAAGGGGGCTAAGGAAATGCAAATTGTTGTTAAAATCAAGTGAGTCACTTCTCTCTGATCAGGAATCGGAGGGAGGGAGGGAGAATGAAATGAAGGCTGGGAGTGAGACGGTCCAGATTAGTGTTCAGAGTTTGGAGAGAGAGAGCTTTGAGTTTGGGAATGGTTTTTTTTGAGGGGGAGGTTAGAACAGAGGTAGGGGGCAGGAGAATGAGAATAATGGAGGTTGGACAGCCTTGGTGGCAGATGGGGAGATGATCCTGGGCTCAGTACCAAGAGGATGTGGACAGCACAGGTGAGAGATTGGCTTATTGCGAGGAGCATTGTGGGGGGGCGGCACAGTTCCCCAGGGTCGTGCTCCCCTCCTCCAGTCCCTTGATTTCTCTCCGAATCATCCGCCTGGGGGGGTGTCACAGTTCCCCAGGGTCGTGCTCCCCTCCTCCAGTCCCTTGATTTCTCTCCGAATCGTCCGCCTTCACTTGACCCTCTGTGGACGGCTTCGGCCGCTCCGTGACTTCGGGCTCCTGGTTTAATCCCGGATCTCCCTTCCCGCTCCACACCTCCGTCAGACAACCTGCAAACAACAACGTGGAAGGTGAGATCATTTCGCGATTCGCTCCACGTAACAATCGTCCCAGCGCTTATAGTCATAATAATCCTTGCATTTGATACAGCGCCTTATCACATCTTTTGAGGTGTCTCAAAACACTTCGCGGGATACGCTGTAAACTGTGGCCACTGTATATTTTGTGGGCGAAACACGTCAGCCCATTGCATACAGCAGCGTCCCCTCAAACAGTCCTGGATTGAGTGACCAAATTGATTTATTTTTTTCTTGAAGGAAGAAGTTATTACCTCTGGAAAAGCGATGCGCTAACCCACGTAGAAATAGGAATAGAAGTCGCTGGGAACGCTCAGCAGGTCAGGTAGCATCCATGGAGAAAGGAAAGTGAGTCAATGTTTCGGGTCCACAACTCACTTTCCTTTCTCCATAGATGCTGCCTGACCTGCTGAGTGTTCCCAGCGACTTTTGTTTTTGTTTCAGATTTCCAGCATCTGCAGTATTTTGCATTTAGAAACAGGAACAGGCTATTCAGCCCCTCGAGCTGCCCTTGCCCACCCCCGTATCCCTCAATACCCTGACCTGACAGGTACTGACCTCTCTCGTCATCCTTTAGCACCTGGGCCTCGCACAGGAAGGTGTCCAGGTTGAGGTGCTGATGGTTGAAGTACCAGTCCTCAACTACCTCCTCATGTGCCTCCAGCATCTTCTCACACTGCAGGGCACACACACACACACAGTGAGGGGATACACACACACGCAGTGAGGGTTTACACACACACACAGTGAGGGTTTACACACACACACAGTGAGGGTATATATACACACACACACACAGTGAAGGCACACACACACACAGTGAGGGTATACACACACACACAGTGAGGGCATACACAGCATGAGGGCACAGTCACAGTCACGAACACACACACACACACACACACAGCATGAGGGCCGTCACTCACGCTGCAGGACAAACGTTCACACAATGTGAGGGCACACACACAACACAGACACAGAGTGAGGGCACACACACAAACCACAGACACAGAGTGAGGGCACACACACACACAACACACTCACACAGAGCATGAGGGCATGGTCACAGTCACTAACACTGCAGGGCACACACTCACACAACGTGAGGGTACAATCACACACACACGCAGTGCCAGTCCACAGCCACAGTCACTCACAATCTGCTTGCAGAGGCAAACCACACACCAACTCCTCGACCCCACTCCACCTCTACCCTCCATGGAGTCTGGTCTCCTGCTTGTCCCTCACCCCCTCTGTCTCTAACTGCTGCCCTGACCTCGGGAATTCTTCCAATTGCCCTGACCTCGGGAATTCTTCCAAGTGCCACTGTCTCCCTCCGCAGGCTGCCAAAACCCTCATACATGCATTAATAACATCCAGGCTCGACTACGCAAACTCCCTGCTTGTCAGCCTCCCTCACTCCTCTCTCCATAAGCTGTAAATCATCCCGAACTCTGCAGCCCGTGTCCTCTCCCGCACCAGGCTCCACGACCCTATCACACCCATCCTCGCCTGACTCCACTCACTTCCCATCACACAGAGGATATAGTTCAAGATCCTGGTCCTCACCTTCAAAGCCCTCCATGGCCTCGCTCCCCCCACCTCTGCCACCTCCTAACCCCTTACTAACCGGCCCGCTCTCTCCGCTCAGCGGCCTGCTCACGTCCCTCACCTGTCCGCCCCCCCATTGGGGGTCAGACCTTCAGCCTATCTGCCCCCACCCTCTAGAATTCCATCTCGCAGTCCCTCCGCTTCACCCCCCCTTGCCTCCTTCAAGACCCATCTCAAGACCCTCCTCTTCGACTGTGCTTTTGATCACTTGCCCCACCAGCCTCCTCAATCCCGACCCCAGCTTGGGTCTGAAACACTGACTGTCCAGCACCTTGGGACGTCCTCTCGATGTGAAAGGCGCAGTACAAATTAATTTTGTTGTTGTCGTCTCTCCCACCGCCTTCAGAAAACTTGTCAAATACAGGAATTTACTGTAGCTTTGGTCAACACCCTGGGACCTCCTCCACATCCAGGTTCTGATCCCTACCGTCTCTGTCGTGTTTCAGGAAGTTTCCCCTCTTTCCCCGCCACCCACCCCCCCACCCCCACCCCGGTTCGAGAGAAGCTAAAGTGCAAGATGTTCAACGTCTGCTCGGCTCGGTCTCTCACTCTCGTCCCTGAGTCAGGAGGTTGTGGGTTAAGGATTCTAAACTCACAGTCCAGGCTGACTCTCCAGCGCAGTGGGGGAGAGAGCGCCGAACTATCAAGAGACGCCGTCCTTTTCAGATGAGACGTTAAACCTCACTCCCAGTCTGTGCCCTGTTCAGGCGGATGTTAAAGATCTCCTGCAGCGCTGTCGGGAAAAGAGAAGGATGTTTCTCTCTCTCTCCCCCGGTGTCCTGGCTGATAATCCCCCAGATACAATCAATCATTCTCCTACGGCTGCTTCTGGAATGCGCTCTGTGTCAATTGGTCGCTGCACCTTCGTCCACAGAACACAGTCGTTGCACTTTACAATGATCCTGTGAAGCTCTTTAAGACGAGTGACGTTACAGGTACAATAAAATGCAAAGGATTATGTTAAACCTCTCTTCGTAAAGAGAGCAGAGGAGAGAGGGTTAGAGAGGGCAGACAGGGACTGAGGGGAAGATAATAATAATAATTCTTGCTTTTGATATCACGCCATTGAGACGTCTCAAAGTTCTTCACAGAATACACTGTGGGCGAAACGGGGCAGCCAACTGCGCACAGCAGTGTCCCACAAACAGTCGTGGATTGAGTGACCAAATCATTATTATTTATTTTGGGGAGGAATTGTTAACCCCGGAAAGTGATCAGCGAAGCGACTTAACAACCGGGTTCTCACTTACTGCCGGTAAACAGAGGCGCGTGTGTGTGTGTGTGTGTCTGTGGAGTAAGGAAATTTTCCTGAGGTTCCGCCCTGACCTGCCCGGGAATCAAACCTGGTCCTCTCGCTTGCGAGGCGAGCGCTCTAACACTACGGCTGCTCTTACCTGCATTTTCAGGTCAGTGACCTCAGCCGAGGGCGAGTCCCACATTTCGAATGGAATTCCCAGCTCCACCTTCACCCCTTTGTGCACCAGGTTCTTCAGTGTATTCATTGTCTCACTGGTGCCCTGAAACCAGCAGCACAGCCACGTATCAGGCTCCCTGCCTCCCAGGGCCAACCCAGCCTCCCATACCCAGCCCCAGCCGCCCACACCCAGCCCCAGCCGCCCACACCCAGCCCCAGCCGCCCACACCCAGCCCCAGCCGCCCACACCCAGCCCCAGCCGCCCACACCCAGCCCAGCCGCCCACACCCAGCCCCAGCCGCCCACACCCAGCCCCAGCCGCCCACACCCAGCCCCAGCCGCCCACACCCAGCCCCAGCCGCCCACACCCAGCCGTCCACACCCAGCCCCAGCCACCCAGACCCGGCCCCAGCCGCCCAGACCCGGCCCAGCCGCCCAGACCCAGCCCAGCCCAGCCGCCCACACCCAGCCGCTCACGCCCAGCCTCAGCCGCCCACGCCCATCCCAGCCGCCCACACCAGGCCTCAGCCGACCACACCCAGCCCCAGCTGAGCCTCCCATATCCAGCCCCAGTCTCCTACACTGAGCCCCAAGCCACCCATAGCTACTCCCAGTCCAGCTTTGTCCCCTCCGCTCCACCAAGGATGCTGTACCTTCAGCCATCAGATCCTGAAACTCTGTCACTCTCTCCCGCAATCCTTCCGCCTTGTCCCCTCCCTCCCCACCTTCAAATCCCACCTAAAGACCGTTGTTTTTGATAGTGCTTATGGTCACCTCCCCCCGGCTCGGTCTCAGACTCCGCCACTATCAAGCAATCCTGGACAGTATCCTGCATAAAGGGCTCTATGTAAATGCAAGCTATTGTTGTAGCACATGTATAATTAGTATATGGAGAGGTCTGGGTGTTCTTACCTTTGCGAAGCGTAAGCTGCCTGGCCGCTCAGCGTGCACACTGTACTGCAGGATCTGCTCACAGATATTATCCATCGCTTCCGCCAGCCGTGTCTCTCTGTCAAAACACAACCGAGCTTCAGGCACAGGCAGCGAACACAGAGACCCACAGCAAACCAGCAGCTCGCTCTGTCTCCAATCTGCTGAAGTTTCCTCCGTATGGGGTCCTGTCGTGAAGCGATTAGGGTGCTCACCTTGCAAGCGAGAGGACCCGAGTTTCCTTACTCCACATGCCTGTTTACCTAGCAGTAAGTAGGAACCTGGTTGTTAGTCGATAGGGGGATTTGCTTTCTGGGGGCAATAATCGTTCCCCTCCACCCCAAAAAAAAATGGTCATTCAATCCAATTCAATTGTGTGAACTGCTGTGCAAATTGGCTGCCGCATTTTGCCCACAAAATAGTCACAACACTTTATAATATGTTCTGTGAAGTGCTTTGAGTCATCTCAACGGTGTGATAAGGTGCTAAAGCAAATGCAAGGATTATTATTATAATATCTTCAACCGTATCTTCGGTCACTCTCCTATTTCTAACCTCCTGATCCCAACTCCCAGCTCGGGTTTAAATCCCTGATTGTCCAATGTCTTGGGACGTTCTCCCAATGTGAAAGACGCTGTTCAAATGTAACTTGTTGTTGTTGTTGTTGTATCTACCCACCTCAGTCTTGAAAATAGGAATGGATCCACAGCCAGGAGAGTTCCAGATTTCCACTACCCTTTAGGTGAAAAACTGCCTCCTGATTTAACTCTTAAACGGCCTGGCTCTAATTTTAAGATGATGCCCCGTCCTGTTCTGGATTCCCCCACCCACCAGAGGAAATAGTTTCTCTGTAGTTACGCCCCTATCGAACTGTATCCCTTTATTATTTTAAACACCTCTATCAGATCACCCCTCAATCTTCTGGACCCAAACCAAGTTTATGCAACCTGTCTATGTTGACACTGCAGTGCTGGGGGAGGGCTGGTTTTCAGTATTTGCCGGTTTAAGTGGACGGTAAAGACCCTGTGATTAGGAAAGAGAAGGGAGTTTCCGTCTTCTGGCTGACAATCTGCCACACACAATCTTCAAGACCAATCAGTCAATCACCTCATCATTTTAAACACTTCAATCAGATCACCCCCTCAACCTTCTGAACTCGATGGAATGCGGACCAGGTTTATTCAACCGGTCCTTGTAATTTAGCCCTTTAAGGTATCACCATGAGTGTCCGCTGGGCCCGGAGGGCTGCGGTGGGGGTTTGAGAGGCAGAGTTCCACTGCGGCCTGAGCTGTACCTACGAGGTATGGTACTTGATCTTCCTCTTCCTCTTGCCGCTGTCCAGCACCTCCCCCAGTTCCAGCACCTCCTTTGAGCGCTTTGTCTTGTCCAGCGCCGCCTGCAGCTCCGTCGTCAGGAACTTGCAAACTTCAGAGGAGAACGGATTGAGTCAGGAGAGGGGCACAGATACATACACGCGCGCACATGCACACGCATACTCACAACACGCGCACGCACACGCTCACACACGCACGCAAACATACACACATGCACGCACACACACGCACGCAAACATACACACGCGCACGCTCACACACGCTCACAAACACACGTTCACACACATGCACGCTCTCACACGCGCGCGCTCACTCACGCGCACACAAACACACCCACACACGTGTGCGCGCGCGGAGCAGCAGTGCTCAGGGCTCCACTTTATAATAACAATCGTTTGCATTTGACACAGTGCCGCGTGAACTGAGCGGAGACTCAGCGACACGTTGTCACTCGGCCGCCATCTTGGATGCTCCGTTGCTATTGGCAACAGCAGCCCCGGGTTCACCCCCTGCCCCCTCCCCCCCCTCTCTCCTCCGCTCACACCTCACCTTCACACTTGGTTGGCAGCCGCTCGCCCTCCGAGGAGGAGGAGGAGGAGGAGGAGGGAGCGACGCCGATCAGCAGCGACACCAAGAAAAACAGCGGCAAGAGCCGCCGTGGGGGGGAGGCCGCCGCCGCCGCCATCTTGTGCTCTCCGGAGCCGGCGCTGAAGGTGGGCCAACGTCACCCGGGCGTCACACGTCGCGCGCCCCGCCCACTTTGCCGCGCCGCGCGACGCGGTGACGCAAGCCGTGAAGCCGGGGCAGGTCCCTGGTCACGTGCCGTCTTCCCGGCGAGCCACTGCGCAGGCGTGACCCGCGCGGACCGACGCTTGGGAGCCGCCGCCGCCGCCCGTCGATCCGTGTCCATCCTCCGCCGGGAGGCGCCGCCCCCGCCATCGGGGCTCAGGACAGGCGGCCTCTGCCGGGGGGTGACCCGGGTACCGGACGCTGCGGTGGTGCCCAGGAAGCCGCTGGTCTGTGGGCGATGAGCGCCCCCTGGAGGGTGCGGACCGAACCTCGCGGGAGCCACGAGATCCGGGGGGGACCCTACTCGGTGCACGTGATCCAAGAGGGCTACGCTTACACGGACCCCGAGGGCCGGGTCCGGGCGGACGGCACCGTGACGCTGGTCAAGGGGCCGCGGGTGATCGTGGTGGACACGGGCAGCCCCGGCGACGGCCCCCTGATCGTGGAGGGCCTGCGGCAGCGGGGGGTGGCCCCGGGGGACGTCACCCACGTGGTGTGCACCCACGGCCACTCCGACCACGTGGGCAACCTGGGCCTCTTCCCTCAGGCCACCTTCGTGGTCTCGCACGACGTGTGTCGGGGCCACGTGTACTCGAGCCACGGCCTGAGCGAGGGGCAGGGGCTGCCCATCGACGGCTGGGCGGAGGTGCTGCCCACGCCCGGCCACTGCGCCCGCGACGTCAGCCTCCTGGTGAGGGGCACCGCGGAGGGGCAGGTGGTGGTGGCCGGGGATCTGTTTGAGCGGGAGGCGGACGAGGGCAGCTGGCAGGCGGTCAGCGAGAATCCCGCCCTCCAGGCCCAGCACCGCCGGCGGGTCCTGGAGCTCGCCGACGTCGTCGTGCCCGGGCACGGCCCACCTTTCAGGGTGATAAAGGGGCCGTGAGCGGAGCAGAGCCGCCCGGACCGCCCCCTCTGTACGTGGAGTCTTGTAGTGCAGTGGTGAGAGCCCTCACCTCGCAAGCCAGAGGGACCTGGGTTCGATTCCCGGGCGGGTCAGGTCAGGGCAAGTTTCCTTACTCCCCACACAGAGACTCACAGACACACACAGACGCACACACACACACACAGACACACAGACACAGACGCACACACGCGCGCGCACCTCTGTTCACCAGCAGTAAGTAGGAACCCGCTTGTTAGTCGATTGGCCGATCGCTTTCTGGGGGAAACAACCCTTTATTAATCCCTGACTGTCCGGCCCCTCGGGGTCGTCTTCCTGATGTGAAAACCTCTCCACAAATGTAATTCTGCACTGTGCAAATCAATAAAAATTTGTCCGCTGGATCCACGACCGCGTGTGGGACGCTGCTGTGTGCAATTAGCTGCTGTGTTCCGCTCACAAAATGTATGCCTTGCAAGCAAGAGGGCCCGGGTTCAATTCCCGGGAAAGGCAAAAAGTTGAGCAAGTTTCCTTACTCCCCAGACACAGATACGCCTCTGTTCACCAGCAGTAAGTGGGAACCTGGTAGTTAGTTGATTGGGGGATCGTTTTGACGAGGGTAATAATTACTTAAAAGAAAAAATATAATGTGGTCACTCAATCCACGACTGTTTGTGGGACGCCGCTGTGCACAATTGGCTGCTGCGTTTTGCCCACAAAATACACAGTAAATTTACAGTATATTCTGTGAAGCACTTTTGAGACGTCTCGAAGATGTGATAAGGCGCTATATCAAATGTAAGGATTATTACTTACTAACTAACTACCCATTGCAACTTTGCTTGGAACCAAAGGATTCAATGTGGAATGTTGATTGACACACAGCCAGACATTTCGTTTAGACATTATACTCAGCTGGGAGGACTCACGTGGGAGGTCTCTTTTGGGAGGACTCCTTAATATATTTTCTTTCACAGTCTCTCTGTTTCTGTCAAGCGCTCTTGAGACACTACCCTGCATGGAGGACACAATGTAAGCGCATATTGTTGTCTCTGTCTCTCTCACTATCTCAATCTCTTTCACTATCTCAGTCTTTATCTCTGTCTCTCACTATCTCAGTCTCTCTCTGTCTGTCCCACACGGGAGGACTCTAGCTCCCACAACAACCAGAAAAAAAGTGCCATACATTTGTTGCAGAATATAGCTCTCTGAATGGGTGCTTTCCTCTGTCGCTATGTAGTTTCAGAATATGATGCATACCTCATATTTTGGGCTAAAAGCATTTTTTTATATAGCTTATCAACGATAGATACCTTCCCCCCCCCCCACCCAAAAAAGATATGCCCATGACACTGCCAGATCTTTCCGAAGATAAAAATCATGTCTCTATGTCAATCGGTCATCGTGTGATTGTCGGATACACAGACAGTAACTTTGTCTTCATTAGTATAGACAGATTCTCTCTCCGTCTCACAGAGCTTTTTGTCTGCAAGCCATTATTATATACTATAATTATAATCGACGTGATGTCACAACTGATTAATGTAGAGATCTGATTTAGGATACCTCATATATTGGGGCTTAGTTGTTAGTCTAGCTCATGAACGATAGGAGATCCCACCAAAACAATATGCCCATAACACTACCAGATGCAAGACCTTTCCGATGACGTAAATCATGTCTCTATTGGTTATTGCGTGATTGTCAGATATACTGTATTCTGTGAAGCACTCTGAGACGTCTCAATGGTGTGATAAGGCGCTGGTAATGACAGTTTCTGATTTGTACCTGTACGTTGTACATTGAGTCATGGCTTGGCCCAGTTAGCAAATGAACCAAAGGTTCAGCACAGCCCTTTATGAGGGGAAAGTTCCCTATTGTAGCATCACTGTTACACCTAACACAGTCAGGCATCACCTTATATTATCACCTATTGATTTGGCCGCTCCCTTTCCATTCCCTTTCTCTGAGTCACAAAGTCGAAAAAAATGCAATAAATAAAATAAGAATAATTTGGTCACTCAATCAACGACTGTTTGTTCCTAATTCACCACATAAAGATCTGTAGTTTAATGGTTAAAGCACTCGCCTCGCAAGCGAGAGGACCTGAGTTCAATTCGCAGGCAGGGAAAAATGTTGGGCAAGTTTTCTTACTCCACACACACGCCTCTGTTTAGCAGTAAGTAGGAACCCGGTTGTTAGTTGATTGGCGGATCACTTTCTGAGGGTAAAAATCCCTTGAAAAATAAATTTGGTCATTCAATCCACGACTGCTGTGTGCAATTGGCTGCCGCGTTTTTCCCACAAAAATATAGTCAATTCACTTTACAGTGCATTCTGTGAAGAGCTTTGAGACGACTCAAAGATGTGAAAAGCGAGACATCAAATGCAAGAAATATTATTATTATTGAGGTTTCAAACCCCACGTCAGGGATTCTGAGCTCACATTCCAGGCTAATGCTTCAGCTTGGTCCGAGGGGGAACTTCTGGTGAGACGTTAAACTGAGGCCCTGTTTGCCTGTTCAGGTGGATAATAAAGATCTCATGGCACTGTTCAAAAGGAGAAAGGAGTTTCTCTCTCTCCCGTTGTCCTGGCCAAAAATCCCCATAGATCATTCACTTCTCACATGTGCAAATTGGCTGCTGCGTTTCCCTATAAACAATACTTTGCCGTGAATCCCGTGAAGCGCTTTGAAACGCCTCCACGACATTATTGATGCTTTCGCAGCTCCTTTTTAGCTCTCAAATCTTGGTGTCTTTTTTTTCACAATCCCATCATTACAACAATCATGGAATTGCTTTACCAGTTGTAAAAAAAATTTAGTGGTTAGAGCACTGGTCTCGCAAGCGAGAGGACCACGATTTGATTCCCGGACAGGGAGAAAATTGGCCAAGTTTCCCTCCTCCACACACCTCTATTTACCTAGCAGTAAGTAGGAACCTGTTTGTTAGTCAATTGGCAGTCCACTAATAATCTCCAAAAAAATCGCAATAATGTGGTCACTCAATCCACTCTTTGTGGGACGCTCCAGTGCACAATTGGCTGTTGTGTTTCACCCACAAAAAATAGTCAATTCACGTCAGTGTATTCTGTGAAGCACTTTGAGACGTCTCAAAGACGTGATAAGGCGCTGTATCAAATGTAAGGATTAATATTATCTTCAGATTGTTTTTCTCACCCCCCACAACCGCCTTGTCGGTCTATCTTGGCATCATTACCCCCTACTCCAAATCCGAGACGATTGACTTCTTTGGGCCTGAAATCAAGCCACCTTTCCCCCTCAATCTACCCACCCCTTGTACCTGTCTTCCCCCAGAACTCTCTCACGCATGAAACCCACCACTTATCCCTTGATCCCATCTCTAGAGTCTAGCCTTCAGGCTCTCTGCCCCCACCCTATGGAACTCCATCCTGGAGCCCCTCCTCATAGCCTCCCTTGCCTCTTTCAAGGTCCTTCTCAAGACTCTCCTCTTTGACTGCGGCTACGATCACCCTCTCACCCCCACCTGTTGCCCTCCACCCCTCCCAACCCCAATCCCCAGCTCGGGTACAAACCCTTTACTGTCCAGTGCCTTGGGACGTCCTCCTGACGTGAATGGTGCTGTGTAAATACAATTTGTTGTTGTTGTTGTTATGGAGCTGTAATCGGTAACTGTATCAAACGTCAGCTCATTACTACGCCACAGCTACTGAGCACAAAGGCATGAACTGATTAGTGTGTGAGTAAAGCTGGGCTTGGTTGGGTGGAGCTGGGATCGATCACAAATCATTTCTGCCTCAACATCAAAGCAACCCTTTGGAGCACGCAAGGGAGGAGATTCCGGGATGCAGATCCAGAGGGCAGAGGCAGAGAGGCTGAAGGCCCAATTCTGCTTGAGGTGTTCAAAATAATAAAAGGGTTCAATAGGGGGGTAACTAGAGAAATTATTTCCTCTTGTGGATAGAGATTCCAGAACAAGGGGGGCATCATCTTAAAATCAGAGCCAGCCCGTTTAGGAGTGAAATCAGGAGACAGTTTTTCACACAAAGGGGAGCAGAAATCTGGAACTTTCTCTCCCAAAAGGCTGTGGATTCTGACTGGATCCATTTACATCTTCAAGACTGAATTGGACAGATGTTTGTTAAGTCAGTGTATTAAGGGATATGGGGCAATGGCAGGTAATTGAATTTTATATATAGATGAACCATGATCTTATAGAATGGTGGAACAGGCTCCAGGGGCTGAATGGCCTCCTCCCGTTCCTACGTTAAATTGTGGGGATGGGGTCAATGAGGAAGGTGGTGGGTTTCATACAGGAGAGAGAGAGATTCACCAGTTCATCAGAACGAAAAGCCCTGAACTTTGCTTTGTGGTGTGGATTGCTGTGTGGCCACCACCCTCTGTAATGAGGATGACTTTTCCAACCTCTCCTTAAATTCCCTTTGCAACGATCATAAACTTAACAATAAAGATCGGAGTCAAGGGAGAATCGGGAGCAAATAAAATAGTCACGTGCAGAAAGGGGGCATGTCAGAGATAAAGAGAAAGCAACTCCTCTGTGTGTGTACATATATATATATATATGTATATATCAGTCATCACCACTCACACCTAAAAGATCCCAAACAAGTGATTGGCTTTCCTTTACAACCGTTGATTAAAGCAGTCAGCTCTCCGCACACACTCGTCCACAAAGAACAGCAGAATGTGCACAGGAAAATGCTCCAAATTAATCGGGGCCTTGCTCTTCCCCACGGCTGTGCTCTGCATCATTGCCAACCTCTTCCTCTTCTTCCCCAACTTTGACACGAAGTATATCCAGGACCCGGCGAAGATCACTCCTGAGGTGCTGTACATGGGAGGGATCCTGGGATCCGGAGCTCTGGTGAGGAATCTCGCGAGCAAGCGCGGCACTTTATTCTGACTTAACGGGTCGTTCGCTGACAGCAGAGCGTTTGCTACAAACCCCTTTGCGCTCTGGTCCCTCCCCATCTCTCCGACCTGCTCACTCTCCAACCCGCTACCCGCCATCTCCGCTCAGCTAGCTCTGACCTCCTGCTTGTCCCTCGTCCGCTCCGTTTCCACCATCAGCAGCCCCACTTTCAGTCACTACGCTCCAAAGCTTTGGAATTCTCTCCCCGAATCGCTCTGCCTTGTCCTCTCCTTCCTAACTTTTACATCATAGAATCATAGAGCACAGAAAGAGGCCATTCGGCCCATCGTGTCTGTGCAGCTCCTAAAAGAGGTTCCAACTCAATCCCACTGGCCCGCTATCTCTCCATAGTCCTGCAATCCTGTCCTCCCCAAATACCCATCTACTTCTCTCTTAAAAGCTGTTACTGAATCGGTTTCCACTGCCCTTTCAGGTAATTCCAGATCCCAACAACTCGCTGGTGAAAAAAAATTCCTAAACTCCCCTCTGTTTCTGTTAACAACTGTCTTAAATCGGTGTCCTCGGGTTACTGACCCACATGACAGTGGGAACAGTTTTTCCCGGTTCAACCTCTCAAATACTCTCATGAACTTGAAAACCTCTATTAAATCCCCTCTTAATCTTCTCTGTTCTCTGGAGAATAATCCTAGTTTCGCTAATCTCTCCTCATAACTAAGGTCCCTCATCCCTGGTACCATCGGGTAAACCTCCTTTGCACCCTCTCCAATGCCCCAACATCTCTCCTAAAGTGCGGTGCCCACAACTGAACGCAGTCTCCAACTGAGGCCTAACAGCATTTTATAAACCTCCTGACTTTTGAATTCTATGCCCCTATTTATAAAGCCTATAAGTATCCCGGATGCTTTTTTAACAGCTTTATTTACCTGTCCTGCCACCTTCAGAGATTTGCTGATGTGGACCCCCAGGTCTCTCTGTTCATTTGCCCCCTTTAAGACTGTACCATCAGCCCATATGGCCTCTCCTCATTCTTCGTACCAAAATGCAACACTTCGTATTTCTCCACATTAAACCTCATCTGCCACGTTTCTGCCCATTTTACCAATCTGTCCAAGTCCTGTTGGAGTCTGGTGCTGTCCTCCTCACCATTAACTACTTTTCCAGCTTAGTATCGTCTGCAAATTTGGAAATTGTGCTCCATATATCCAGGTCCACATCATTAATACAGGTCAGAAAGAGCAGTGGTCCCAATACCGACCCCTGAGGGTCACCACTACACCCCTCCCTCCAGTCAGAAAATCAGCTGTTTGCTACCACTCTCTGCTTTCTGTTTCCTAGTTCTGGATCCATGTTGCCACAGTCCCTTTAATACCGTGGGCTTCTATTTTGTCTCTTAATTGGCACTTTATCAAATGCCTTTTGAAAATCTAGATAAACTATGTCTACTGCATTACCTTCATCCACCCTCTCAGTCACTTCATCAAAAAATTCTATTAGGTTTGTCAGACACGATCTGTCTGTAACAAATCTGTGTTGACTGTTCTTTATTAAACCATATTTTTCTAAGTGAGAATTTATATTGTCCCGGATTATAGTCTCCAGAAGTTTCCCTACTATTGATGTTGTTCTTAGGTTTGGCTGAAGACCTTCCTCTTAGGCCCCTCCCTCCCCCCGGTTCGCCATCGGGCTCCAACTGTCAAGCGCTCTGGGACACTGCCCCACGTAACAGGCACTGTGTAACACAGAGGGAATGGTTCATGATCCTGGTCCTCAGCTTCAAGGCCCTCCATGGCCTGGCTCCACCCTACCTCTGCGACTTCTTAAGCCCCTACCAACCTGCTCGCTCCCTCCGATCAGCGGGCTCCGGCCTGCTCCACGTCCCCCGCCTCGCCCGCCCCACCATTGACGGGCGGTCTTCTGCCACTCTTCCCCCACCCATCGAACTCCATGTTGTAAATTGTAAACAACAACAAATTACATTGGCGTCCCAAGGTGCTGGACAGTGAGGGATTTGGACCTGACCTGGTGGTTGGATCAGGACAAGGTGGAGGGCGGGGAGGGTGGGTCGGAAGGTGACTGAAGGCGTGGTCGAAGAAGATGGTCTTGAGACGGGCCTTGAAGGAGGCAAGGGAGGGCACGAGACGGAGGGTCTGTGGGATGGACTTCCAGAGAGTAGAGAGGCTGAAGGTCCAACCGCTGATGATGGGGTGGTCAGATGGGGACATTAGCAGGCCGGGGCCCGCTGAGCGAGGGAGCGGACAAGTCAGTATGGAGTTAGCAGGTTACAGAAGTAGAAAGTAAATTGTAAAGTGAACAACGGAAAATGGAAAGTGACAGATTAAGTAAATAATAAATATCCTTGCATTTCATACAGCACCTTATTATGTCTTCGAAACGTCTCAAAGCACTTCACAGGAGTGACTGTGTAGTGACTGTATATCTTGTGGGCGAAATTAAATGGGCAAGTCTGTGGCAGGTGGAGTTTAACATTGCAAAGTGTCAGGTAGTCAGTACCACGTGAGACAAAACAACAGCGGTTGCGGGAGAGGGGAGGGGGGAAGGTTCTAAATGGGGATGACTCGGGGGGTCAAGTCCATCGATAACTTAAATCCCATCACAGGTGCAGCGAGGGGAAACAGCCATTCCTACCCCCTCTATCCTCTGCGTCTCTATCTCCTGCTCTCTTTCTCTCCCTCTCTCTCTCTAACCTCACCAGACTCTCTGCCATTCCTCCACCAGAGGGAAGAGTCGTCCATGCTCTCGCTCCTTATCTCCTCGTTAACCCTCCTCCCCCACTCGACACTGATCTCTGGTTGTTTCTCTGTGTGAATGAGTCTGGCCCCGGTTCCTGAGATACAAGTAATCATTAACCCGCATAGTCAGCCTTGCATAGTGTCTCCATGGCAACCATGATGCTCTCTGCCCTATGGACTATTAATCACTCAGACCAATGTGAACTGCTTGGAGTTGAATTGGCGCCAAGATGACAGGTTTGGCAACGGAATCCAGCCAGTCCTCCGTGACAGCCTCTCGTCAGGTTCCTGAGCCAGGATCCCAGGGCACTCACTGCTGATGGCAGCCCAGCCCGGCCCATCGGCTGGACCTGGAAGGGCCAACCAGTCACTGGGGGCAGGGAACCCTCTCCCTCAGCTCCTGTTAACCCCGCAGCCAAAGCCCCAACTAACTAACGGGGAGGGCGGTCCTCGCTGGACAAGCAGCGGGAAAGCTTGGCCACACAGCGCTCTCTCTCTCTCTCTCTCTCTCTCGATGGCCGAGCTGTGTGTGGGTTTAGCTGGTTAGACTCCAGCAGTTACCCCACAACGCACGCTCTGCCTTGGATCTCGCCAACCTGCGCCTAATACTTTCCGGAATTACACAAGCAGGATGCGTCCTTCCAGGGAGAGAGAGAGAGAGTGCATTCCAGTCCAACAATCTATCTCTGAGATTTCCATGTGTAGGTGGGAGGCATAGGGTTCTCCGCTTGGTTTGGAGACCCTTAAGCAACAGTGATGGTTTCCACATGTGTCAGGCACCTGCCTGACTAAACCCAAAAAATGTACCACTGACAATGTGACGTTCAGGAGCTTTCCCTCCTCTTCTCTCTCCCTTCCCCCCACCCCACCTGAAAGGTGCTATACACATGTAATTTGTTGTTGTTTCCAGCTGTGTTCCCTTGGGTTTGGAAGGCGCGGTGATCGAATTGAGGTGTTCAGAATGATAAAAGAGATTCAATAGTGGGATAGCTCCAGAGAAACTATTTCTCCTGGTGGGTGGGGGAATCCAGAACAAGGGGGGGGCATCATCTTAACATTGGACCCAGGCTGTTCAGGAGTGAAATTAGGAGGCAGGTTTTGTCCCAAAGGGCAGTGGAAACCTGGAACTCTGTCTCTCTCTCTTTCAAAAGGCTGTGGGTTATGGATGGATCCATTCACATTTTCAAGAGTGAGGTGGGGAGATGTTTACCAGGTCAGGGGATCAAGGGATATGGGGCAAAGGCGGGTAATTGCAGTTGAGGTACAGATCGGCCATGATGTTATAGATTGGTGGAACAGGCTTGACGGGCTGAATGGTCTCCTCCTGTAACTATTTTTCCAGCTGTTTCTGTTGTTGATTTTTCCCTTCTCTGTGACAGGTGCTGATCTCCGCTTCACATATCTACGCCACCGGCAGCTCAGGCTGCTGTAACAACCGATGTGGGGTAAGTGACGAGGGGGGGGGGAGGGAGGGAGAGTAAGTGGGGGGACTGAGAAATAGAGGTGAGAGGGGCAATGGGGGAGGGCAGTGATGGGGCTAGTGAGAGGTGAGAGTGAGGAGGGGAGAATGAGGTGGCGGGGTGAGGGGCAATGGGGGGGAGGCAGGAGAGGGAGGAGGAGGGAGTGAGAGGGGGACCGGGGGGATGAGAGAGTGAGAAGTGAGAGGGGCAGTGGGGGTGAGTGAGGAGGGGAGAATAGGGGGTTGAGTGGGGCAGCGGTGGGGGGAGTGAGAGGGGCAATGAGTGGGGGAGTGAGGGGGGCAGTGATTGGTGGGGGGGGGGGGGGGGGGCAGTGCGTTGTCGGGAGGCCAGCAAGCGAGATTAAAATGATTTGGAATCACAGAACCTTTCAGCACAGAAGTCATAGAAGTCAACCAACCCCAACTAGCCCCAATCCCCCACTCGTACCCCAACTAGCCCCAATCCCCCACTCGTACCCCAACTAGCCCCAATCCCCCACTCGTACCCCAACTAGCCCCAATCCCCCACTCGTACCCCAACTAGCCCCAATCCCCCACTCGTACCCCAACTAGCCCCATTCCCCCGCTCTTGCCCCAACTAGCCCCACTCCCCAATATCCCTGCACATTTTTCCTTTTTAAGTACCTATCCAATTCTTCTTTTGAAAGCAGCTATCAGATCTGTTTCCACCACCCTTTCAGGTAGTGCATTCCAGACAGTGACATTGCTGTAAAAAAATAATAATCCTTACATTTGATATAGCGCCTTATCACGTCTTCGAGACGTCTCAAAGTGCTTCATAGAATATACTGCAAATTTACTGTATATTTTGTGGGTGAAACGCAGCAGCCAATTGTGCACAGGGGCGTCCCACAAACAGTCGTGGATTGAGTGACCACATTATTATTTTTTCTTTTAAGGACTTGCAGCAAAACGAACCCCCAATTAACTAACTACCGGGTTCCTAGTTACTGCTAGGTAAATGGAGGTGTGTGTGTGTGTGTGTGTGTGGAGTAAGGAAACTTGCCCAACTTTTCGCCCTGCCCGGGATTTGAACCCAGGCCCTCTCGCTTGCGAGGCGAGGGCTCTAACCACTAACTTTGCTCTGTCAAAGAGCCGGCAGACTCAATGGGCCGAATGGCCTCCTTCTGTCCCGTAACATTCTATGAATCTATAAGCTACAGGCCTCCAACGTGTTAAAGTGTGTGTCCCAGATGTTGCAGTGACAGTATTTGTGTTAATGTGTCCTCCCCAGATGTTTCTGTCTGTGTTGCTGTCTGGTCTGGGTGTGGTGGGCTCAGGGTATTGCTTTGCGGTGAGTGTGGTGGGACTGGTGAAGGGACCCACGTGTGTGTACAATGGCCAGTGGATTCGCCCCTTTAACGTGTCGCTTGCAGAATTCAGGTACAATTGTGCTCGGACTCGTTCCGTCTCAGTCCCTCCGCCCTCCGCTCGCCCTGTCATGTCCCTCACACACTCTCTCCAACCTCACAATGCATGTCATAGACGCCGTCCTTCAGATGAGATGTTATTAATAATAATAATCCTTGCATTTGATATCACATGGGCCTTATCACATCGTTCAGACATCTCAAAGCCCTTCACAGGATAATAATAATAATAGTAATAAGCATTGCACTTGATAGAGCCTTATCACATCATTGAAACGTCTCAATGTGCTTCACAGAATATACTGTAAAGTGTAGTGACTGTGTGTTTCGTGGGTGAAACATGGCAGAAACTCAATTGCGCACAGCAGCGTGCCACAAAACGAGATGTAGAGCGAGTGAGCAATTATTATTATTATTATAATTTTTGTTTGGAGGGATTATTACCCCCGGGAAAAGCGATCGCCAACCGAATAACAAGCGGGTTCCTAGTTACTGCTTAGTAGAGGCGTGTGTAGACTAAGGAAACTTGTCTGAGGTTTCGCCCTGATCTGACCTGACCCGGGTCCTCACTCCCCGTCTGTGCCCTGTTCAGGGGGTGGTTAAAGATCTCCACGGCGCTGTCAGAAAAAGAGAAGGGAAGTTTCAGGAGAAATATTTACAGAAAATTATCTTTCAACGCTTGTCCCCGAAACTCTGGAAATCCCAGCCCTACTCGCCCCCTTTGCCCACCTTCAGATCTTCCTCTTCGTCCGTGCCATTCCCCCGCGTCAGGCTCCGACACTGTTAAGCACTCCGTGACACTGTCCCATGTGAAGGACGCTGTGTAAACGCAGTTGTCGTTGTTGTTGAATCGCTAAACCTTTCCCCCCTGGCAGCGGGAGAAGTTACCTGTTTCAGCCCGAGTTGTGGGGTCGCTGTGTGGAGCCCAGAGATGTGGTGCTGTTTAATACCACGCTGTTCCTGACGCTGTCCTGCCTCAGCTCCCTGCAGTTCTTACTCTGCCTCATCCAGATGGTCAACGGGCTGTGCGGCTGTGTGTGCGGCACATGTCGCCAATCCAGGAACGTGGTACGTCTCACACACACAGACACGCCAACACACGGCAACACACCCACACTCCAAAACACACACACACACACAGACATGCCAACACACAGTCATGCCAACACACACACACACACACAAGGACACACAGACATGCCGACACACAGTCATGCCAACACACACACACACACACAAGGACACACAGACACGCCAACACGCAGTCATGCCAACACACACCACAGACACATGCCAACACACAGACACGCCAACACACACGGGGACACACAGAAATGCCGACACACAGTCATGCCAACACACACACACGAGGACACGCAGACACGCCAACACACAGTCATGCCAACACACGCGCGCTGACACATGCCAACACACAGACACTCCAACACACAGACGCACAGACATATCAACACAGACACACCAACACAGAGAAACATCAACACACGTGCGTGCCAACACACACATGCCAACACCCGGACACGCCAATACACCGGCATGCCAACACACAGACAAATATGATGATGTGTTGACACGGATTAATACACCTCAGGATTTGTCCACAATTTTTCCATAATTCCTCAACTTGTTATACTCCGTGGGCGGAGACAGTCTGAATTTGAGGGGTTTGTGGGCGGAGCTCTCCTGAGGGGTTTGTGGGCGGGGCTATACAGGGGTGTGTGGGCGGGGCTACACGCGGGATTGTGGGTGGGACTATACTGGGGGGGGCTGTGGGCGGGGCTATACTGGGGCTTGTGGGCGGGGCTATACTGGGGCTTGTGGGCGGGGCTATACTGGGGGTTGTGGGCGGGGCTATACAGGGGGTTGTGGGCGGGGCTATACTGGGGGTTGTGGGCGGGGCTATATTGATGATTTCCTCTGGTTTTTGCCCACAGATCGTGGCCTAAAGACGTCACAAAAGCGCTCTGAGACGCCGTCCGGTGTGAAGGGCGCTGTAGAAACGCGAGTTGTTGTTGTTGTTGGGGGTTAGTGTGCGAATGTGATAACATCTCCCGCATTTATCACAACAACCAACCAGAGATCATCATCACATCACCCCACAACCAGGCGTGTGACACCAATGGGGATAATTATCACATCATCTCATCATAATAATATTATTGGGGATAATTATTACATCACATCATCATAATATCACTGGGAGTAATTATCATATTGACCAATCATGTGGTCACTGACTGCCTTTGATCTGGGGTGAAGGTCCACCCCTCCTCCTCCGAGAGATATGATTTTTCGGGACATATCTGAGCTCCGTGACGATTATCACAGGTATTAATGTCACAAGCCCACAGTTTCTCTGCACTTTCTGTTCAACACCAGATAGCACAGACCTCGAGACCATCAGGAATTTGGGTGAGGAAGTCTCCAGAATCTCCTCTTCCCCCCCCACCCAGACCTCAGTGAACACAAGTGATGGGATGGACAAGGAGACGGTGACCTCCCCCTCCCCCCAGGGATTACCTCACACCCCCACCCTTTGGAAGAGCTATCCAAGGAGTTCCCCCCCTCCACTGCTTTTCACCCATGTTTCCACCTCCCATTTAGGCACTGTATTCCAGACTGTAACAACTCTCCATGTAAAAAAATGTCTCCTCGTCTCCCCACTGGTTCTTTTGACAATTACCTCGAAGCTGTGACTTCATGTATTAACTTATTAAAGTTCACACAAACTTGGTTTTCTGCCTCGTGTTTCCAGCTTTGTATATCCTGTCAGATTGGTGGTGGGGAAGTGTGTGTGTTTGTTAAACGGAGTGACTATCCTCTGTGTGGGGAGAGGCTCAGCTGAAGACCTTTCGTTTCAACCGCGCCTTTGGTCACCTTCCTCCCCCTGGCTCGGCCCCAGGATCTGTTACTGTAAGCGCTCTGAGACGCCGTCCAGCATGGAGGGCGCTATATAAATCCAAGTTGTTGTTGATGTAAGCAGGGTCTCAACTGGCTCCAAGGTGGCAACAGAATGTCACAATTGACCCCCCATGACTGTCTCTAGTCCCCGGTTCCTGAGCCAGGAGGGGCCGCAGTCCAGGGCACTCACTGATGATGGCAGCCCAGCCCGGCCCGTCGGCAGCACTGGAAGGGCCAACCAGTCACTGGGGGCAGGGAATCCTCCCCCTCAGCTTCTGTTAACCCCACAGCCAAAGCCCTAACTAACTAACTAGCTAGCTAGCTAACTAACTAACTAACGGGGAGGGGGGTCCTCGCTGGACAAGCAGCGGGAAAGCTTGGCCAGACAGCGCTCGCTCTCTCTCAATGGCCAAGCTAGGTGTGGTTTTAGCTGGTTAGACTCCAGCAGTTACCCCCAATGCACACGGTGGGGTTCCCCCCAAAGCGTTGGCTCAAGCCAATCAAGGCCTAATACTTTCTCGGATTAGGCAAACTTGATGTGTCCCTCTAAGGGAGAGAGAGAGAGAGAGTGAATGTGCATTCTGTTCCAACAATCTATCTCTGGGATTTCCAGGTTTAGGTGAGATGCATGAATTTTCAGTTTGGTTTGGAGACTCTTAAGCAACAGTGATGGTCCGCATGTGCCAGACACTCGGCTGAGCAAAAAATGATAGGGGTCAGTATTGAGGGGTTGCAAAATACAGTCACTGCACTTTACAGTAAATACAATTCACGTTTACACAGTACAACACCTCACACACACTCACAGACCTACACAAACCTGGGCTGGAACCTGTTGAGTGGAGGCAATGGGCTGTGGGTTCGGGAGTGAGTAGGTTGGAGAGGTGGGGAGGGATTTGTAGATGAGTGAAAGGATCTTAAAATCGATCCATTCAGTGATAGGGAGGCAGGGGAGCCTGGCAAGGACTGGGGTGATGGGGGGCGGAGTTTAGTGTGGGTGAGTATGTGGGCTACGGAGTTCTGGATTAACTGGATTTTGTGGATAGTGGAGTTAGGATGGTGATTTGAGGTGCATTTGGGATAAAGTAGTCAGAGGCGGGCAATGTGGCAGAGGTGGAAGAAGGCGGTCCTGGTCAGGGAATGGATGCGGAGAAGGATAGTTGTGGATCGAACCTGACGCTTAGGTTGTGCACAGGTTCGGTGAGTCTGAGGGATAGGCCGGGGAGGTCAGAGCCACAGGATAGAAGACGTTGACGAGAGCCAAGGAGTGTGGCTTCCATTTTGTCGACATTTAGTTGCAAGAAGTCTTCGCTGATACAGGCCCCGATATCCGCCAGACAAGTCGAGAGAACGTCATTGGGCTTGTGCCTGGATTCACAACTGGAGTAGATTTGTGCGTCATTCGCACACACGTGGAAGTTTACTCCATGTCTGCAGATGGCATCACCAAGAGGGAGCAACATTACCACAACCCCCTCACACACACACACACCGGGTCAGCCTGAACTGTGAGCTCAAAGTTACCAAAGTGGGGCTGTTTTGTGATCACCGGGGTGTCTAATAAATCAGACAAAGCCATTAATGTGCAGTCCTTTCTTCAGATGAGACTCGCTCCCCATCTGTTCAAGCAGGCGTTAAAAGATCTCCCGCAGAGCTGTCGGGAAAAGAAAACAAAGTTTTTCCTTCTCCCAATGTCCTGGATGACAATCCCCTAGATACAATCACTCGCTTGCTTCATGGCTTTGTCTGAGACCTCACTGTGTGCAAATTGCTGCCGCTTTTGCCCACAAAATACACAACAAATGACATTTACACAGAGCCTTTCACGTCGGGAGGACAGCCCAAGGCCCTGGACAGTCAGGGATTTGGACCCGAGGTTGAGATCTGGGGTAGGGGGGATGAGGGGGTATGGTAGCCAAATGCACAGTCGAAGAGGAGGGTCTTGAGACGTGTTTGGAAGGCGGCAAGGCAGAAAAAAAAACTAAACTGGATAATGATCCCTATGAAGTATTTCGATATAGGCTTTTATCACAGGCAGATTGTTTTGTTATTTCAGGAAGTCCTTAGTACAGCCTCAAGATCACATCAACAGTCATAAGACACAGGCATCTGACGTGCACGGAAACCTATCACCGTGATCAGCCGGGTATCTGAGATAGATGTGCATGGGTGGGGAGGGAGATGAGGGTGGTGTCAGCCTTTGCCCTGTATTTCAGATTTCTGTGTATCATTGCGAGCGCTGTGTATAAAAGACAAAGGTCAGTGTATGGCTCAATATACGGCTGGGCGGGGCTGTGTGTGCAGTCACAGCGCATCTCTCCTGAGTCTATATACTGCATCTGTGTGCATCTCTCTGTGTCATTCCTTCCGTGTGTCTCTCTGGTGCTGTCTTGTCTCTCTGGGGTCTGTTCAGTGAGCGGGTGTGTCACTCTGTGTGTGTCACTGGGAGAGTGACAGACTTGGAGCCATGTGCACCGGGAAATGCTCTAAGTGTATAGGGGTGACCCTCTTCCCCCTCGTCCTCCTCTGTGCCCTTGCAAACTTCATGCTGCTCTTCCCGGACTTCAGTTTGGAGTACCTGACCGCTGAGCATATCACCCCTGAGATCCTCTACCTCGGGGGCATCATCGGGGGTGGCGGACTGGTAAGATTCCCTTCCTCATTTACACCCGTCGTCTATCTGTCCGTCAAATACAAATCGACACTTACTCAGCAGCTGCCTTTCATGTCGGGAGGACGACCATAGTTGTTGGACAGTCAAGGATTTGGACCTGAGCTGGAAGTTTGTATCAGGAGGGGTAGAGGGCGGGGGGTAGGAAGGTAACCGAAGGCACGGTCGAAGAGGAGGGTCTTGAGACGTGTCTTGAAGAAGGCGAGGGAGGGGACTGAGGAATAGAGTTCCAAAGGGTGGGGGGGGGAGAGAGGCTGAAGGCCTGACCGTCAACTAATATTCGTCTGCCTATCCACCTGTCCGTACATATGACCATCTGTATGTCTCAGTGTGAATATCCACTGTGTTCATTATCACGGAGTGACATCTCTGCGCTGTAAAGCCCGAGGAGTGTGTGTTATGGGTGAAGGTGGCAGCCAGTTTACCACAGTGAGGCTGTATCTTATAAAGGAGCGAGGCCTGTGGGTTAGAGGGGAGCACGGAGGGAAGTGATGGCGGCTGTGAGAGCCGTGGACCAGAGCCGTCTGAGCTGAGCAGCGTGTTGACACTTCCCCTCTGTTCAGCTCAATCTCACAGCACTCCCAGTCGCAATTACACTGATAAACTGATAACCAGAAATAACTCTTTAGTATCCGTCAGCCACTCGCACGCTCCAAACTGAAGTCCGGGCAGAGCAGCATGAAGTTTGTAATGGAGAAACTAATACATTGAATTGTTGAGAATTGGTAACTCTTGTCGGGAAATTTGCGATGAACTTTTTAAAACAAGTCTGCTACACCCGGTTATTAATATTAAATCGATCGATTTTCAGGACGTTAAGGTTTAAATCCATCCCCCCTTTCAGACTGACTTAACGACAGTGAATAGATAAGGCAGTAAGTAGTTAACACGTCGAGAGGGTTCCCCAAGGTATATGTGAGCACATTGACGGTGGCTGATAATCTGGGGGGGAAATGACTTTCTGTGAAAGTAACTGTATCTTCATAACCGATTTGGGATCACAGGGCAAATGAAAAAAAAGGACTCTCGTCTGACTGTGTTCAAACTCAGTTCATTACAGTCTGCTGTAAAAAAACAAGAGGGAAACCACAGCACTCCCAGACACTGCCCTGTGTGACAGGAGCTGAATAACAACTTGTATTTACACAGCGACCTCCATGCAGAGTAGCATCCCAGAGCTGGGGCAAGGGAATCCTCCCACTCAGCTCCTGTTACCCTGAAAGCAGAGTGATGGAGTAGGAAGTCGATGGGGAAGTGACTGTAGGCACGGTCGATGAGGAAAGACTTCAGTTGGGCCCTGAAAATGGGGAAGGAGGGGGCAAGAGTTTCGGGGCGTAGTGGCTGAAGACACGGCCACCGATAATACTGTTGTTGAACATGTGAATGGCTGACACATACGTAAGAGGTATTTCTGGTTATCAGTTTATCAGTGTGATTGCGCTGTTTGTTAATATCAGGACATTTGTGGCCGCTGAGCTCACTGCGATGTCAGAGCCAAGTCATGTGTCACACACACCATCAGGGCAGAGTGAAGCCAGGCAAAGTCCTCGTTACACACGTATTTACACGGCGTCTTTCACATCGGGAGGACGTCCCAAGGCATTCGACAGTCAGGGATTTGGTCCCAAGCTGGGGGTTGTGATCAGGATTGGTGTAGGGCAGGGAGGCGAGGGTAGAATGGTGGCCAAAGTAGCGGCCGAAGAGGAGGGACTTTAGATGTGCCTGAAGGAGGCAAGGGGTTGAGGCAAATAGACTGTGGGGTGGACTTCCAGAGGGTGGGAGCAGAGAGGCTGAAGGCCCAACCACCGATGGTGTGGAGCAGTCCGCAACCCGCTGGGCAGGTTGATATGGAGTTCGCAAGTCACAGACTCCTGCAGTTACCCCAACACATACTCTGGGCTCCTCAAGCCTTGACTCTTGCCAACCAGGGCCTAATACTTTCCGGAATTAGGTAAACTGGGTGTGACTCTCCAGGGAGAGAAATAATCTGTCTGATTTGGAGATTCTAAGCACGGTGATGGGTTTCCGTGTGTGTCAGACACCCTTCTGGTCACGGTGACGGGTTTCCGTGTGTTTCAGACACCTGGCTGGTCACGGTGACAGGTTTCCGTGTGTTTCAGACACCCGGCTGGTCACGGTGACGGGTTTCCGTGTGTTTCAGACACCTGGCTGGTCACGGTGACGCGTTTCTGTGTGTGTCAGACACCCGGCTGGTCACGGGGGAGTTTGCGGGGAGGGTCTTGGTCGCTCACTAACCTGCTGTTCTGTGCTCAGGTCCTGATCCCCGCTCTGCACATCTTTGCCACCCGTTCAGACGCATGTTGCAGCAACCGGTGTGGGGTACGTGTTTGCTCTCTTTCCATCACCATCACCATCACCCCATCCTCCATCACCATCACTCCATCTTCCATCACTATCTCTCCATCTCTCTACCACCCATCTTTTCATCCATCAGGCTCTTGCAGGGTTAACAGTCGGCCCTTCCAGGAACTGACTCAGGAACCGGGACTAGAGATTCTGATATTCCGTTGCCAAACATGTCGCATTGGAGCCTATTCAGCCCTTAGAAGATCCCACTTACCTCCCCCCACTCCCGTGGAGTCCCTCTCACTGTCTGCTGTGTTGCTGTGTGAGGGTGTGTGACGCTGTGTGTGACGCTGTGTGTGTATGTGATGCTGTGTGTGTGGGTGGACGCGGTGTATGTGGACACTGTGTGTGTGCGTGGACGCTGTGTGTGTCTGTCGATGCTGCGTGTGTGTGAATGCTGTGTGTGTGTTGACACTGTGTGAGTGTGTGGACGCTGTGTGGGGGCACGCTGTGTTTGTGGGGGGACACTGTGTATGTGTGTCGATGCTGTATGTGTGGGGACACTGTGCGTGTGGGGATGCTGTGTGTTCGGGGGACGTTGTGTGTGAGGACAGTGTGTGGGGATACTGTGTGTGTGTGGGGACACTGTATGTGTGTATGGACACTGTGTGTGGGGACGCGCTGTGTGTGTGTAGGGACGCTGTGTGTGTGGGGACACTGTGTGTGTGTAGGGACGTTGTGTGTGTGTGTGTGTAGGGACGCTGTGTGTGTGTAGGGACGCTGTGTGTGTGGGGACGCTGTGTGTGTGGACGCTGTGTGTGTGGACCCCGTGTGTGTGTGGACCCTGTGTGAATGTGTGCGGACGCTGTTTATGTGTGTCGATGCTGTGTGTGTGCGCGGATGCTGAGTGTGCGCGGATGCTGTGTATGTACGCACGGATGCTGTGTGTGTGCGCTGTGTTAGACGCTGTCTCTCTCTGTATACAGATGTTGCTGTCGCTGGTCTTTGCTGTGGTGGGGATTGCGGGCTCCTCTTACTGTCTCATCTGCTCGGTGCTTGGTGTGGTGAACGGGCCCTACTGTCTCCATGAAACTGACAACGGCACTGAATGGGGCCGTGCCTTCCAGGTCGACATCACCAAACTCAACATCACCAACTTAAAGTACGTTCATGCCTGGCACCGAGCCTGGCACTATTCTCAGGTTGGGACTGTGGGGGAAATAACAATTTGCATTTAAATAGCGCCCTTCACACAGAGTAGCGTTTGGCTCAGTGTCTCACTCTCGCTCTCGAGTCAGGAGATTGTTAGTTTGAGCCCCGCAGCAGTTGGGGGAGAGAGAGAGAGAGATGTGTGGTGTCAGAGATGTTAAACCCTCACTCACTTTCCGTCTGGGCCCCGTTCAGGGCGGACGTTAAAGATCTCCCGCAGCGCAGTCAGGGGGAAAGGAGAAGAGAGTTTCTCTCTCTCTCTCTTTCTCTCTCTGTGTGACCTGGCTGACAATCCCCCAGATACAATTGGTGACACACTTCGAAGAGAAAGGTTTTCAGATGTGACCTGAATAAGGGGGCAAGGCGGAGGAAGGGATTGGGGGGAGTGTTCCAGAGTTTCAGGGCGTAGTGGCTGAAATCGCGGCCACCAATGGTGGAACGGAGGCCACGAGGGACTGACTAGCAGGAGGCCGGAGTCGGTCGAGGAGAGGCAGCGGGTTGTGCGTTAGGGAGTCAGCAGGTGGGAGAGGGAGGGAGGTGTCGGGGTGAGGAGGGGTTTAAAGAGGAGTGTAACGTGATTGATTGCTCGCAGGGACACTCACTACCTGCTCAACTACACGCGATGGGACGAATGTTTGGAGCCTCCTGATGTCGTTGTCTTCAATTTGGTGCTCTTCAACTGTCAGATCCTCTTCAGCTTCATCCAGTTGATCCTCTGCATCTGCCAACTCATCAACGGGTTCTTTGGGACTCTGTGTGGCACCTGTAAATAGCCTCTAATTTTCTCTCTCGCTCTCCCACCACAACCCTCCTTCCCCGGTCCTCTCACACTCACTCTGTCTCCCCCGCTACACCCCTCTCCCCCCATCTCTCATACTCACTCTGTCTCCCCCACTCGCATCCCTCTCTCTCCATCTCTCATACTCACTCTCTCTGTCTCCCCACTACACCCATCTCCCCGTCTCTCATACTCACTCTCTCTGTCTCCCCACTACACCCCTCTCCCCCCGTCTCTCATACTCACTCTGTCTCCCCCATCCGCATCCCTCTCTCCCCATCTCTCACACTCACTCTCTGTCTCCCGTACACACACCTCTCTCCCTCCTGTCTCCCACGCAACACCCCCTTCTTCCCCGTCACTGTCACACTCACTCTATATCTGTCTCTCTCACATTCACTCTCTCAGTGACTGTTCTTTCTACCTATTCATGATTCTGTGTGAGCAAGTGAGTGTGTGAGCGATTGTGTGAGCGAGAGTATGTGCGTGAGCAAGCATGTGTGAGCTAGTTTGTGAGCGAGCGTGTGTGAGCAAGAATATGTGTGAGCGAGTGTGTGTAAGCAAGGGTGTATGTGTGAGCAAGTGAGTGTGTGTGAGCGCGTGTGTATGTGTGAGCGAGTGAGTGTGTGTGAGCGAGTGTGTGTGAGCGAGGGTGTGTGAGCGAGGGTGTATGTGTGAGTGAGCGAGTGAGTGTGTGTGAGCGAGTGAGTGTGTGTGAGCGAGTGTGTGCCTCCCCAACGCCTCCCTCCACACAGCATATGCTCTTTTGTGAATCTATCATTTACATAATAATAATCATAATAAACTTTGCATTTGATATCGTGCCTTATCACGTATTTGGGGATTTGGGGTTCAGGGCTTGGAGTGAGGGATGGGGCTCAGGGGACAGGGTTTGTGGTTTAGGGTCGGGGCAGGGCTTGGGTTCGGAGTGGGGTGGCGAGGTTTCGCTCTAGGGGCAGACTTTTGGGTGGGATACGGGTGGGGTTTGGGGGTGGATTTTGAGCTTAGGGGGGGGATTTCTTTTGTTTGTTGTTGACTGTGGGGTGAGGCTGGGGGTGGAGTTTGGGGTGGCGAGGTTTTGGTCGAGGGGCAGGGGTTAGGGGAGGGTTCTGGGCGTGGTTTGGGGGGGGCGCTTGGGGTTGGCTTTGAGGTTGGGGCAGAGTTTGGGGTGGGGTTGGGGGCAGAGTTTGGGGTGGGTGGGGGGTTGGGGTGGGTTAGGGGAAGCTTCCCCGCCCCCCCGCCCCCTCGCTCAGGCCCATTCGCTGACACTGCTGATATCACAATGAGCATCAGCCTGGGCTGAGGTTGCCAGGGGCTACAGGGGCCCAGTGCGGGTGGGCCGGGCCGGGCAATGAGGCTCTGACATGAGTGTTTGTGGAGGGGAGCAGGAGGCTGGCATGTCAGCAGGATGATTGACTCAGAGGGTGAGTGACCATGGGCTGCTCATCCTCAACCCCCACCACCACCACCCCCACCACCATCACCACCTTCACCCCCACCACTATCAACCCCACCACCATCACCACCACCATCAATCCCACCACCATCACCCCCATCCCCACCATCACCCCCATCCCCACCATCACCCCCACCACCACCATCATCACCCCCATCACCTCCACCACCCCCATCCCCACCATCACCCCCATCCCCACCATCACCACCTTCACCGCCACCACTATCAACCCTACCACCATCACCACCACTGCCATCACCCCCACCACCACCACCTCCGCCATCATCCCCACCACGACTACCATCACCCCCACCACCACCACCATCACCCCCACTACCACCACCCCCACCGCCATAACCCCCACCATCATCACCCCCACCACTATCAACCCCACCACCATCACCACCACCATCAATCCCACTACCACCATCACCATCATTACCATCACCACCACCCCCAGCATCACCACCATCACCACCATCACCCCCACCACCATCACCCCCACTACCAGCACCATCATCCCCACTACCATCACCCCCACCACCATCACCACCACTGCCATCACCCCACCACCACCACCTCCGCCATCATTCCCACCACGACCACCATCACCCCCACCACCATCACCCCCACTACCACCACCCCCACCACCACCGCCATAACCCCCACCACCATCACCCCCACCACCACCATCCCCCCACCACCACCATCATCACCCCCATCACCACCGCCATCACCCCCACTACCACCACTATCACCACCACTGCCATCACCCCCACCACCACTGCCGCCACCACCCCCACCACCACTGCCGCCATCACCACCACCGCCATCACCCCCACCACCACCATCATCACCCCCACCACCACCACCGCCATCACCCCCACCACCACCACCATCACCCCCACCACCACCGCCATCATCACCACCACTGCCATCACCCTCACCATCACCCCCACCACCATCACTGTCACTGATAGTGATAATAATCCTCACATTTGACCCAGGGTCTCATCACGTCTTTGAGACATCTCAAAGAGCTTCACAGGATAGACTGTAAAGTGTAGTGGCTGTGTATTTTGCTTGCTAAACACGGCAGCCAATTGCGCCCAGCAATGTCCCTACAAACAGTGAAGTGACCAAATTATTATTCGACAATTTTTTTTGTGGGGGGTTTGTTACCCCTGGAAAGCAATACGCTAATCTATCCAATCTATCTGGGTTCCTACTTACTGTTAGGTAAACAGAGGCGTGTGTATCGAGTAAGGAAACTTGCCCAACGTTTTGCCCTGCCCCGAACGGGAATCCTCTCGCTTGTGAGGCGAGTGCTCTAACCACTACACAACAACAACAACATTACATGTGTACAGCGCCTTTCACGTCAGGAGGCTGGACGGTCAGAGTTTCGGACCCGAACTGGGGGGCAGGGGGGAAGCAGGGTGATCGAAAGCATGGTCAACAAGGAAGGTCTTGAGATGACACTACAGGATACCTCAGCGTGTCTCAAGCTGTCGGTCAGTCTCAGTACCCACCAGCACAGCCAGTACCCACCCCACCAGCACAGTCAGTACCCACCCCACCAGCACAGCCAGTACCCACCCCACCAGCACAGCCAGTACCCACCCCACTAGAGCTCCACGGGCAATACTGAGGGCACTGTACAACACAATTCACATTTACATTTATATAGTGCACAGGACTGCGCCAACATGTCTGTCAGATAATTAATAATAGGAATAAACCTTGTACGTTACCACCCCATCAGGACAGGATTCATTGTAAAGTGTAATGACTGTGTGTTAAGCGGCAGCCAATTTGCGCATAGCAGTGTAAAACATCCATGAAGCGAGCAAGTGATTTTATGTGGGGGTTTTGCGGCCAGGACAAGAGAAAGAGAGAGAGAGAGAAAAGCTTTTCCCGACAGTACCGTGGGAGATCTTTAACATCTCCCCCTCCCACCCGATGTGCAACTTAAACCCACAACCTCCTGAGTTAGAGGCTGAGCAAGAGCCTGAGCCAATGAATCTGATAAGACGAGGCCCTAAGATGATTATTAACAACAACAACAAAATTACATTTACGCCTTTCACGTCGGGAGGATGTCCCTGGGCGCTGGACAGTCGGGGTGAGGACTATTAAAATCAAAATGAAACTTTCATTAGAAACAAAAGCTTTTCAAAGCTTCACAGCAAGTTTAGTGACTTTAAGTAAAGGTTTCAGTTTTTTTTAAGCTGACACAATCAGAAACCCAGCACCGTGATCAGCCGGGTGTCTGACACACATTTCCGCTTTTGTCAGACACCCGGCTGATCACAAGGATGGGTTTCCATGTGTGTAAGTCACCAGGGTCTTTTGATCTGACCTCAACCGCTGCTCGTGGAAATTAATCCCAAGCCCTGACCGGCCTCTGAGTGATCGGATTCTCTCTAACCTCACCCCTGACTCCACTGACAATCCTGAGATTCCTGCGACCCCCTTCTTCCCCGGCACCCACTTCCCACCTATAGGGGAGTTTCTTGATCGTCCCTCTGTTGTCTTTGCTGACCCTTGGTCATGCCTCCCCAAGCCACCCCAATCTCTGCTCTAATGAGACACACAGACGGCATCTCAGAGCACTTAACAGCAGCAGAACCGATGCCGAGCTGGTGGGGAGGTGACCGGTCAAGGAGGAAGGTCCTCAGGCACGACCTGAAAACGTGGAAAAAGCACAAGTGCCGATGCTGGAGGCCGGAGCGGGGGCAGCGGGTGTGGTGTGGGGAGACAGCAGGTTGGAGAGATGGGGGTTGGGGGGCGCAGAGAGTGAGGATCTTGAAATCGATCCGCTCTGTGACAGGGAGCGCAGCCTCTTCACACGGAACTGGAATTGGAGTTGGTTGCTAGGATTGCGGGGAAGGGTTGGCGTGAGTTGATTTGAAAGAGAATTCGATGGGAATTTGTGGAGGAAGTGGAAGTGGAAGCAACAACAAATGACATTTATACAGCGGCTTTCACACCAGGAGAACGTCCCACGGCACAGGACAGTAAGGGACCCGCCCCCAAGCTGGTGATTGGGATCAGGAGGGGTGGAGGGCAGCCAGGTTGAGAGTAGGAGGGTGAGATGTAGGAGGGTGACCGAAGGCACGGTCAAACCAGAGGCTGAATTTCCGACCGCCAATGGTGGGGCAGGCAAGGCGTGAGTCGTGAAGCAGGCTGGAACCCGCTGAGCGAAGGGAGCGGACAGGTTAGCAGGTCACAGAGGGAGGAGCAAGGCTGTGGATGGCTTTGAAGGTGAGGACCAGGATCTTGAACTGTATCCTCTGAGAGATGGGGAGCCAATTGATATGTTGTTGAGATGTCTGAAAGCGCTTCATAGAACATACTGTAAAGACTAATGACTGTGTATTTTGTGAGCAAAATAAGACAGTCAATGTGCACAGCAGTGTCCCACAAACAGTGGATTGAGTGACCAAATTTTTTTGGGTGGGATTATTATGCCCAGAAAGCAATCTGCCAACTGGGTTCCTGCTTACTGTTGGTAAACAGAGGCGTGTGTGTGCGGAGTAAGGTAACTTACCCAAGCTTTCACGTCACCCGGAAATCAATCCTAGATCCTCTCGCATGCGAGGCGAGCGCTCTAACCATTACTCTATGGGATGAAATGATCAGACAGGAGAGGAAGAGCCGCGGGATGGGGGGAGGTTCGACTGTCACACACTGCTCAGTAAAGCTGTGCTTGTCTTCTTCCTTCAGTGATCCTCCTCTTACTCCTGGTCCTGGTCGATGTTATTTACATCACTGTCGGTGAGTTCCTCTCGCCCCCACACTCCCATTCAATCCCAAACTCCACTATCCATGTAACTCATCTGCACTAAACTCCATACCCCCATTACACCAGTCCTCGCCAGACTTCTCCAGCCCCCACATGGTCTGTACGCTGGTGACACATATCTCTACCTCTCTGCATCCACCCTCGACCCCAGGACCACTGCTATCCTGACAGACTCTTTGTCTGACATCAAGTCCTGGATGAGAGCCAACTTTCTCCATTGAATGTCAGTTAGTTCGAGGCTCCTGAGTGGCTCGCGCTAGCACCTCCGCACCTCAGGCACTGGCGGTATCAGCATCCAAGGATGCCCACTCCACCTCACCAAGCCAGTCAGGAACCTAGGGTTGACCCTCAACTGTCCTTCCTCCCCCACATCAGTGCTTCGACCCGCTCTGCCTTTCCCGTCTCCGCAACATTACCCGATTCCACTATATAGATGCAAGTTTTGTTTTGTTGCTGTTAAGAGTGCCTCACGTGATCACAACAGACCTCGTCCAGCCACACTCAACATCTCGTCTCCACCCACTGCTGTGTCTGACTGTGTGTTTGTAGGTACATCCACCTACTCTACCACCACAACAACAACAAAATTACATTTCTAAACCGCCTTTCACGTCGGGAGGACATCCCAAAGCGCTGGACAGGCAGAGTTACAGACCTGGGCTGGGGGAGGGAGGAGGGTAGTGGGGGGAAGCAGGGAGATCGAAAGCACGGTCGAAGAGGAGGGTTTTAAGATGGGTCTTGAAGGTGGCGAGGGAAGGGGCGAGGCAGAGGGACTGTGGGATGGAGTTCCAGAGGGTGGGGGCAGAGTGGCAGAAGGCCCACCCGCCAATAGGCCAAGCGAGGTGGGGGACATGAAGCAGGCCGGAGCCCGCTGAGCGGGGGGAGCAAGCAGGTTGGTAGGGGGTTAGGCGGTCAGAGAGGTTGGAGGGAACAAGGCCATAGAGGGCTTTGAAGGTGAGGACCAGAATCTAGAACTGTATCCTCTGTTAGGGAAGTCAGTGGAGTCGGGCGAGAGTGGGGGAGATGGGGTAACGGAGTTTGGTGCGGGAGAGGACATGGACTGCAGAGTTCTGGATGATCTGCAGCTGTGGAGGGAGGAGTTGGGGGCCGACAAACAGAGAGTTTGCATAGTCGATCCCGGATGTAATGAAGGTGTGAATGAGGGTTTCGGCAGCCTGCGGTGTGAGACAGTGTTGGAGCCGGGGGGAAGGCAGAGCAGTTCATGTCCAGCCAAGTCCCACAAATAGCCGTGAAGTAAGCAGGTGAATTTATCTGGAGGATTGTCGGCCCGGACACTGGGGGAGAGAGAGGAACTCTGTTGCTTTTCTTGACAGTGTTGCAAGAGATCTTGAATGTCACCATGAGCAGGGCACAGAGGTTTAACTTCTAACTCGAAGGACGGCGTCTCTGACAATGCAGCGCTGTCAGCCTGGACTGTGAGGAGAGCAGGGAATGGGGGAACGAGCCCCAGCACAGACATGATGGGGAGTGGTGACGTGGTGGACAGGACGTGATGTTAATCTGATCTTGTCTCCTCTTTAGCTTTCATCTTTCTGAAATCTTGCCCTAAGGGTGAGATGGTGCCTATTTACATCATCGCCTCAGGATTCTTTGACATTTTGCAAGTGCTGAAGGAATACCTGCCAGTGTCAGAGGCCGGGGGCTTTACGTCTCCCCGCTGGAGCTCCTTCACCTTCTCCAAGACGTCTATGAGGTGGTGTTTCAGGATATCGGCCATCCTCGAGGGGGCCTTGCTCGCCGCAGGTAGCCCCGCCCTCTCTCTCTCTCGCACTGATTGGTTCCCACATCAGCAGCACCGCCTGCAATTGGACGTTCATTCCTGCCGCACCCTCTTCTGCCTGCCCCGCCCTCTCCATATCTGCCCCGCCCTCTCCATACCTGCCCCGCCCTGTCCACATCTGCCCCGCCCTGTCCACACCTGCCCCGCCCTGTCCACATCTGCCCCGCCCTGTCCACATCTGCCCCGCCCTCCCCATATCTGCCCCGCCCTGTCCACATCTGCCCCGCCCTGTCCATATCTGCCCCGCCCTGTCCATATCTGCCCCGCCCTGTCCACATCTGCTCCGCCCTGTCCACATCTGCTCCGCCCTCCCCACGTCTGCCTCGCCCTCTCCACGTCTGCCCCGCCCTCTCCAGGTCTGCCCAGCCCTCTCCAGCCTGCGAGCCTGATGGAGCTGTCAAGCTGCTGATTGACCGTCTCCCCACAACTTTCAATTCCCTTGTTTCCCTGAAATCCAGGGTTGTTTTCAAACCCACCCACTCCTCCTGGTACAGCAGTCATCTCCGCTCACGCAAAACACAAACCCGGATACTCAAGCGCAGATGGCAGAAATCCGGCCTCACGATTCACTGTCAGCTGTAGCTAGAGTACCTCCACACCTACCGCCTGTTCCTTTCACAGGCCAAGATTTTTACTCCAAAGTCATCCTGGAGTAGAGAGAGAGAGTGTGCGTGTGAGATTACTCCAACGCCCTCCTCGTCAGTCTCCCCAGCTTCACCATTCACAAGATCCAGCTCGTTCAAAACTCAGCCACTCGCATACTGACCCGGACCAAACTCCTCACCCACATCTCACAAGTTTTGACAAGGCTCCACTGGCTCCCCATCACCGAGCAGATTGACTTCAAAATCTTCACACTCGTGTTCAAATTCACTCTCCATCACCTCCCTACCTCTCCCGACCTCATCACTCCTCAATCCACCACCCGGCCCCTCCACTCGAATGGCACTGTCCCTCGCACCCTCCACCCCACCATTGGAGGTTGCTTTCAGCCACTGCACCCCAAAACTCTGGAGCACTCTTCCCCAGTTCCTCCGCCTTGCCCCCTTCCTCCCCTCTTTCAAGTCCCACCATCTTCGACCGTGCTTTCGGCCACTTCCCCCTCCCTTGGCTCCACCACTGTTGAGCGCTATGACACGCTATCCTGCGTGGATGGCGCTGTATAAGTAAGTACAATTTGTTGTTGTTTCTCCCCTCAGCGTGTTTGAAAACCATGATGTCTGCCATGTCCATTGCCTACATCACCATTGGTGAGCTCTGCCCACATGTCTGTTCACATCGGTGTCTCTGATTCTGTGACCTTTACCAGATAAGTTAACTAGTTAATTTGAGTTAGGAGGTTGTGGGTTCAGGCCCTGTGTTGGATACTTTGAGCTCAGTCCAGGCTGCTGCTCCATTCCTGGATTGTCGGATACTGTCTTTCAGATGAGACGTGAAACTGAGCTTCAGTTTGTGTCTGTTCAGGGGAGATTTAAAAGAAAAAGTAGTACCAGCACAGATACAATGGGGAATGGGGATAGAGTAAAGGGCTCCAATGGGGGAGTGAGCACCAGCACAGACACGATGGGGAGAGAGGGAGCAGGGAATGGAGTTAAAATAAAGAGCTCCAGTGGGGGAGCGAGCACCAGCAGACACGATGGTGGGGGGGGGGGTTGGGTTTGGGTTCAGTTGGTGCTGGACTATAGTACCTATGTGTTCCAGGGACAGTGTATTTGAATTCCTGCACCCAGCAGCACCTGATCCCAATCTATCTCATTGTCTCTGGGAGCTTCTCTCTCTTCCTGATCATGATCTCCTGCGTTCACTGCTCCCCGAGCGATGGCGAGAACCTGTCACAGTGGCGAGACCTCAGCCGTTGCTGGAAGACTATCAGCTCCCTGTTCAGCTTCATCTGGTTTTTAACAGGTAACTATCCTAGGGGTAAGTGGTCCTTTCGCGCCTTAACTGACTCCAAGGTAATGTGTTTGGCAAAAGAATATCAAATCTACCCTCTGTGATGGCCTCTAGTCCAGTTTCTGAGCCAGGGAGGACAACGTACTCTAGAGCGCTGCTGGTGACAGCCCAGGCCAGCCTGGCTCATTGTCAGAGAAACAGACATGGGGGCAGGGACTCTTCCCACTCAGCTCCAGTTAACCCTGCAAGCCCAAGTCCTAAAGATATGGTGGTCTTCGCTGGTCAAGCAGCAGGAAAATTGTCAGCCAGTACTCTCAATGGCAAGCTATGTGGTTTTAGCTGGTCAGACTACAGCAGTTAGCCCAACCCACTCTGGGATCCCCAAACCTTGGCTCTTGACAATTGGGCCTGCAATACTCTCTGGAAATGGGCAAGAAGGATTCGTCCCTCCTGGCAGATTGAGTCACGTTTCATTCCAATATTCAAAGGTCACAACTCTGGGGCATGACTGACAATTGCAGGGTTAATAGTCAGGTGTTAGCCTGGCTTATGTGGCCTGCGGACCTTGCTCAAATAGGGAATCTGGCCTGCGACAGTGAAAGGTTGAATCACCCTGGCCTATCTGATCTCATCCCTCCAGACCACCTGCCCGACACCATTTCCCCATCACAACATCGAGCTGGTTTTCAAATGCATCCAGTGTCCTGGCCTCAACAACCCCTCCTGGTAAATGTTTCATAGTTAATTCAACAACAACTTACAGCTGTCACACGGGGTAGAGTCTCAGAGTGCTTGTTCCTGGTCTGTCAATCCTGATGTCTATATTCTGAACTTACCCCTCAATGTTCTCCCCTTAACCCCAGTAGATAGCTCAATGCACACTCTGGTTCCCTCGAACCCTGGCTCTTGCATATTTTCAGACATGGAGAAATTCCCATGTGTAGGTGACGTATGTGGGATCTCTTCAGCCTAGTGTCTGACTCGCAACCAGCTGGTCACGGTGATGGGTTTCCATGTGTGTAGCACACCTTGGACCGAGCCTGTGGCCTCTCACTGCAGATTTCATTTCTCACTTCTCTGTTCCAGGTAATGTCTGGATCTACTCCATTTATGAGCCGGATTACATCCACGAGGACTCTGCTCTTTATTGTAACAGAACTCTCTACCTCTTCGCCTTCTGGATGACGACCATCACCTATACTCTGCTGGCCCTGGTGCTGGTCCTGGGCTGTTGCGGGCTACTCTGTGTGTATACTCTCCAGGCCACAGCTTGCAGGGGGCAGCAGGGTTGCTGGGGGGAGAGGGAGAGGTAATCAGCCAACTTGCTGCCAAATTACGTCTCTCCTTTTGTACACCGACACTTTTTAAAGCTGCATCTTCACGTCACTAAATGTAAATCACGGTTTGTTGTTGTGGGGGATAAGGAGAAACCGCACTTTTATATTGTAATCACTGAATGATCCAGGGTATATTTCATACCCTCGCCTGTTGGACGAGTGTGGGGGACGGGGGGGGGGGGTGATGTGCACAGGCTTTCACACTCGCATAAGATTTTTGGTTTGATATTTGAACTGTTTTTAAACTAATGTTTTGATGTAAAATGTATCTAATAAATTTGTGATGTACAGTACTTGCATTGTGCGTATCACCCTTAATATATTGGAACTAGGAGGCCATTCAGCCCCTCATGCCTGCTCCATCGTATTAGAGATTCTCCTATTTGACCGAGTGGAGTCCTGCAGTTTAGTGAAATCGAGAAATCTGAGTTTGATTCCCAGGCAGGACGAAACGTTGGGCAAGTTTCCTTACTCCATGTGCCTCTGTTTACCCAGCACTAAGTAGGAACCTGGTTGTTAATCAGTTGGCTTTTACAGGGGTAATAATCTCTTCCAGCAATGAAAAAAAATTGTTATTTAATCCTCGACTGTTTGTGTGCACTGCTATGTGCAATTGGCTGCTGAGATTCGCCCATAAAATATCCAATTTTATTCAAAGTCAATATACAATATTCACTTTACAATATATCCTGTGAAGTGCTTTAAGACATCTCAAGGCTAAGGCGCTTTAACAAATACAAAGATTATTATTACTCCACATGAGTCAAGATTATTTTGTTTTCTGCACTTCATACCTCCCATTTCTAGTATCACCACACAACAAAATTACATTTGTATAGCACCTTTCCCTTCAAGGGGACTGAAGGTGCTGGACAGTCACGGATTTGGACCTGAGCAGGGAGGAGGGGTTGAGATATGGGTCTTAAAAAGTG